AGGCAGACTTCCATAATTCTCCATCTGGACATGATAAGGCTTCCTTTAGTGTCCTTGGAAGGTCTGTGTTAGATGGACCGGTACTTGCTATTCCAGAAAAGAATGTCTCCTCTGTATCAGATGTTTTTTCATGAACCTTAGAAGTGTTAGGTTTCTCCATGGAGTTGTCATGCTGCTCTTTTCGAGACTGTTCCTCATCTAGAGTCCTTTGATAATCTCGGTTTTTGTCTGCAGGACGGGTCTGGCGACTGCTTTTGCGTACTCCTAGGACTTCAGCAGGCATAACTGCTCTTTTAGGAACTTGTGCAGGTACTCCAGGGAGTAGACACATTTGTGTGTGTGTTGCCCCACTCACTCCTGAAGGTGTTGAATCACTCCTCGGAGGCGTTGGATGCCTTCCAGAAGCTGATCCAATGGACAGGCTGTTTAGCTGTATCCGGACTTTTTCCACATCAGCTGGCTGTATGTTGAGGGGCTGTCCTCCCACTGACTGTGACTCTAATTTGGCTTTCCGTTCTGAAGATGGCCAGTGTTCAGGTCTTGGTTGTAGAGACTGTTGTGGAGGGTGTCTTAGCTGATCAGGTGCTCTCACTGCTCTCAGAACATCTTCACGGAGGTATTGCCCCACTGCTCTCGGAACATCGTCATGCTGATATGGTTCCATTTGCAATTTATTTGGATCTCGGATCTGAGGGTCAGGATCATCCTCCTCCAGTGTATTTTGGTCTGGATAGTGAGCATTCTCTGGAATGAGTCCCTCCCACTGATCTGTGCTAGTTTCTGTGTTCCAGGGAGCAGTGTCATCCTTTTGTACCTTTTTGGATTCATTGAATATGACATGCCGACTGGAAAACACAGTTCGTTTTTCAGTGTCTAGGAGTTTATAGGCTTGCTTTCCATGTGTGTAGCCAATCATTATGGCTTTGTGCCCCTTGGAGTAAAACTTCCCTTGCCTTTTGTCTTTCGGAATCAAGGCATATGCTTGGCATCCGAAAGGGCGAAACAAAGTTGGATCAACTCTCCTTTTAAACAGTATTTCATATGGGGTCTTTCCATGGAGTCCTGATGCTGGGCTGCGTGCTGTGATATATGCAGCTGTTTGCATAGCATCTACCCAAAATGACTTTGGGAGCTTGGAATCATGGAGCATAGTGGTTGCTAATGTAGCCAATGTCTGATTCATGTGTTCTGCAATGCCATTTTGTTCCGGAGTATCTGCAGCTGTAGTTTCTTGGATGACACCATCTCCTCGGAGTTGATTTTTGAATGCATTGCCAGTATATTCTCCTCCCCCATCGCTCCGGAGGAATTCTGTGTATAGTGGAGTGAAGTTTTCTTCTCCCAAATGAGTCCGGAAGAATGTTTGGACATCTTCTTTCCATTGCTTGTATCGTTCCAGTGCTTTACTCTTATGTTTCAGGAAATATATCCATGGAAATTTGGAGAAATCATCTACAATGATAATCCAGTACCGGAAACCCTCCCTGGAAGTTGGTTTGATTGGTCCTCCAACATCTGTGTGCACAATTTGTATGGGGCGCTTGGCTCAGTTTCCTCCAGTGGACATGAAAGGTAATTTCTTCATCTTTCCTAAAGCACAAGGTTCACAGAACTTCGGGGTTCCAGTAAGGGTGTCTATGTCCTGGAGCTGTCTTTTTGTAACCATTTATTGCAAGCGGTCCATTCCAATGTGTCCCATTCTCCTGTGCAATAAATTTACATCTACTGCTGCAAAAGCTGACTCCGGGTTGATTTCGGGTTTTGCTTGGATGTGATAAAGTCCTTGCTTGTGTAACGCAGTGAGGATAAGTTCCTCCTTTTTCCGAACTTCACAAGCATTTGACCCTGCTGGAAAAAGTGTTGATAACCCCATTTTGGACAATTTGTGGATAGAGACGAGTGCTAACGTGAAGTTTGGCACAAGTAAGACATTTGACAGTGCAATATTGTAGTCCTTTTTGCCAACAGTTGCTTGTAGGATTACTGTTCCAATGCCAATGGCATTTACAGAGGATTCATCCCCAAAACTGATTGTCCTCAGAGGATGCAGAACATGGTATGTTCCTGGCTCAAACCAGGAGCGGTGAGGGACCATGTGGGATGTTTCTCCGGAGTCAATAATAATTGTTGTTTTGGTCTTATTGGGTTCCGACACAAGGTAAGCTTGAATGCGTTTAGCAAGGGGCTTGGAAATATGTACATGTTCCAATGCAATATGACTCTGTTCCTCCTCGGAGTCAGATCCAGATGATTGCTCTGCCATATTTGCCTTTTCCTTCTCTTTTCCTTTATCCTTGTTCAGCTGACTAAAGTGTTCGACACTCCGAGGTGTTGCGTGATTTGGCTTTGTGGAAGTCACACCATTTCTCCTCGGATTTGAGTGCTGATTCGGAACCTCCAGGGGCCTTCCCTGACTGTTGTGCAACTTCTGCAGTGATCCAGATCTCAACTGCATCAAAGATAAGTTTATTTTCTTCAATCGTGTTGATTACTGATGACTGAAATATTTGCCATTCAGGAGTGCATGGGAGAGATTGGAGAAGAGCAAAAGCCATGAGTTTGGTATCAACTCCTAGTTTCATTCCGGAGAGGTGTGAATCTATTGTCCGGATTTTTGCAATGTGGTCCTGGATAGGTGATGTCCCATCCCAGGACAATTTGGTGAGTTGCTGGAATGAATAAAAGGCCGAGGCAATGTTGGACGTTTGATGGGATGAGACAATTTTATCAAATAACTCCTTGGAGCTGGTGAGGTCTCCAGTCCTCATTAGGAGGGCATCAGAGATGTGGTCCTGGATGATTCCATGTGCCTTCTCATCCTTAAGTATCCAGGTGATCTCAGGATCCTCCGAGGAGGTAGGTTTTCCTGGTGAGGGCTTAAGCTCCTCTCCAGTAACAACCCGGAGAACTTTTTCCCGACGTAGCTTTGAGATGATCCGGAGTTTCCATATCTGAAAATTGTTGGGTCCAGTGAGAACTGGACATGCGGATGTATCGCGTACTGTGGTCATGGTTCCAAGGTTGCCGTTTCAAATAAGAATTATTTCCTGTGTAGCTTTTGTGCACCATGTGAGGAATCGATTTTTCTTATCGCATTCCCGTCATGTCGTGGTTAGCAGACTCAATCCCCGTCACTCCTCTTGCCCTTGGACTAGAGATTACAGCAGGTGTCTTATTACTTTTATCCTTTTTCTTCTTATTCTCTATTCACACTCACATCTTATCATACCTACGACGAGGTAGACTTGTTGTCGACCCTCGAGAAGATATCCAGATGACATAGCCACAATCCAGTGCTATGTCTGGGAATACTTCGGAGTAATATTGATAAGCGAAGAAAGTTGTGAGTCAGCACCTTCTCATGGGCTTACTGATACAGCCAATCACACATCCCTTACCAATACGTTTTCTCATACGATTAGTAAATACGATAGATCAGACCACTTTCTCCTTTTATTTCTATTGGTTAGCTGACTGGTCAGACCACTTTCTCAAGTTCTTCCCTTTCTCGGTCTGACCATCGCCATTCACTATATAAAGAGATACATACTCGATGTACTGTTCTTTAGTTCAATATTAGTTTGGATTTGCACTTATACCGATACTCTTCATCCTCATACCCTGATTCACCGCCTTCCAGCAAGGACTTGACCAGGCATTGTGCTTTGTTATATAGCTTCGTATTTGTTGCCTGACACACCAGGGCTGATAACCTAATAAAACTAAGTGAAACTCAGCCGCTGCCTGAGAGGCTATAGAAACGACTTTATTATTTACCTAAGTGAAACTACAATAGATGTTAGTTTAAGGTGATCTCTAATAAATGTAATGTAACATACCTCAGCCGCTGCCCGAGAGGCTATAGAAACGACTGAGGTATTCCTATACTAAACCCCCTACTACTTATAGTCGGAGGTGCTACTCGCTACAGTATAATGACTCCTTGGAGATTTGGCTTACTCAAATGTTTCTGATCTTTGATGATTTTTACAGATATTCTTATCAATTTCTATATATTTCAAGGTATTTCTAGATATTTACATTTGTAACTTTTCACTGGGCATCATGATGATGGTGTAATGGCAACAAACATTTAAATAAGATTCGGAACAACTTAGCTGGCAGGATTCAATCAGATTTCAGGAAAATAGTCACACAAGGAATTATGTCACATGTGACAATTCCAGACTCAAAGCTGTGAGGACAGGCAAATGATATTAGGGATTATATTTTAAAATTTTGCTTCATATTTTTGTTAGATATAATTGGTATATTTTTACAGAAAAATCACTTAAATCACACTGCAAGTCTAGCTATTATAAGTCTATCCCCACAGTGGAAGTGGAAAGATATTGAAGCTATACCTGGTCATGTTCTCAGCAGTAATTACAATAACAGCAATGATGATAGACCTTTGAGATTTCATAAACTCAGCCATCACTTATATAGAGTCATCAAACATGTTATTACAATGATAGATTGGTTTGACATGTTGTCCCTTATAATGTAAAGTAAGCCATTAGAACAGTTTGTCAAAACTTCACCGATTTCCTGATGGCATGCATGCAGGCAGACAAACTTCCAAGTTAAATGTCAGCGGCCGCTGTGCCCGGCATTGCCGGTCCGCTCGCTATAGATAACGCTTTCCTTTCCTGCACTGGTTCAACTGAGAGCACATGCGACTGGCAGTGCCTTTTGCCCACCAAAGAAGTGCCTATCAAGACATACACTTTACAGTGAACCACCATGACCAGAATCCCACGTATCGCCATCTGGTAAGTAGCATCCAATACTGTTATCGCTTACTATCGCAGTCACTGAGGTGCAGCTTGCATTCGCAGGTTTAGTAAGTCTCCCACTCCCTCAGGCCATTTCGACACTTTCTACTGGGCCTGACATTTAGCCATTATCAAGTCATACTATCCTTCTGTAATTTTTGGTTAGTTATGCCGGCCTTCCATTGACTGTCTTGACGCTGAAGTTTGTTTTGTGTCATGTGATCAACCAGCCTCAGCGTCCAGCTCTCTATCACATACATCAACCGCAAGGACGCTACCTGGCAAAACCCTCTCATCGGAGCCGCCACCATCATATTCTGCGCCATCTGCAACATCATCACCGCAGCACTGTTTTACAGGAATGCTGTAAGGAACAAAGCAGCCCTTGGGCTCGTCGCGTCAGGAGTCGATAACGTGACACAGGCACAGGTACAAGAGAAGAGGTTGCTGCTGGACGCGAAGCAGGATATAGAGCAGGGAGGCGGTACATTTCACTTGGATGCATTTCCTGCAGAGAAGACGGGCTGATGTGGACTTGCCGAAGTGGAGTTTTACAATGTTGTGCGGCTGAACATGGATCCGTTATTTTTGTGCTGACTAGTTTTCCGTTTCTTAGACATGTCCGTTTCTCAGATATATAATTTCAATTGTATTTTATATTTGTTAAACTGGGTGTGAACCATGCTATCGCCAAGTGTCTACCTCGTCTCTCATGACCACTGTTGCGAAACCACAGCAATCAGGGGTTAGGCATAGGCAATGGATTCTCATGCTAAGGTACAACTGTAAGTCTTCCAAGAAGGTCCATAAAAAATAACTCATTCGTAGTGATGCTGCGGTATTGAGTGCATAGCACTATATATGCGATGAAGTCACTTTCGTTCTGCTAAATTTTACTGATACACCACCACAACTTCATCGTGACAAATGTGCTCTATAGCTAGTCTATAGCTAGTTCTGTAAGTAAGAGCGCTACGTGGACCAGTAACTAGATCTGAAATGGTTAGCCTTCTCTTCGCCTCCAAGCATTCTTGTCTAGTGAGTACACCAAGGATTCTCATTCCTATCATTTCATATACACACCCGTATGTGGCGGAAGAGTTACTCGTAATTTCATATCGGGTCCTCCAGGCCCCCATACATATACAGTCTATACAATGATAATATATAGTCTACTGTACTGTAAATAGATTAAAAATAGTCTAGATCGAGCGTTGCTAGTCATGAAATGTCATCTTACCATCACTTCTAACCAAAACCGGGGGGTCTAACGTCTAGCGATGATGCCGCGTGCACAACGTTCTGGAATTATCGCAATGAGGGTGATATCGGATTGAAAGGGTGATGCATAGGCAGTATATAGCCTCTTGGGACAGATGGTTCCTGCGTGATCACAATGACCTGTCATCAACAAGTCATTCTGAGTGGACACCGCCCCAGAACATGATGGGAAGCCACATACCTCGCCCCGTCTACCATATTCCTCCGAGCGCTGCGATTGACTATGACCCACGGCTGTAAGCGTAAACGTGTCGCTAGGTTTATAGGAAAGTAACCGAGCGTTGTATTTTCGGACATTTAGTCTAGAGTCATATCCCTGATTAGCATGCGAAACTGTTACACTTTGCTTGACACTTACGAGGTCAAGACTGAATTAGTATAAACTACAATGTTTTGTGGTAAATTTTCGTTTTTGATCCAACATTGATGACTAAAAAATACCTTTCACTTGCACCAGGATTACTCCGAGGAAGTAGAGGGTATTCCGTTCTTCTAGATACTGATGGTTTGCAATGCATTAATACTTTGTATTTGAGCTTTCATTGATGGTAATTTTATAATTCACGAACCATTATCAGGGCTGCAAATCCTACCATTCTAGAACAGAATGGTTAGACAGGATACTCTTTACATTGCACATGCTGGTACTCACGAAGTCAACGCACCAGTGCCTACAGTATAGATCAGTAGTTTAGTAATAAGGCTGTCCGTCTTTGAGCTAAAATCATACGTTAGTAAATGATGTTTGTAGCAGGAGGACGTGAGCAACCACCGTGTTACACTCGACCGTGCCCTGTGTAAATAATATGCCATTGTTCCTGCTATCAAAAGATCACCTACGGCAATCATTACCATACCAGCGATGAGAAAGGACTGCGAACAAAGGTGAGACTATAGCATATATCATAGCGGGGTATCTTGCATTTGATTTCGCCTCTACCAGGAGCCAAAACTGCTGATATTGAACACTAAAATCGTGGACTGTCAGATACTATCTTTCACAAACTTGATAAACTTGGTTACCAGTATACGCAGATAACTATTCCTATGGCTGTAGCATATAATTAGTGTTATGTAGTCCTAGACATCAAATTGTAAAGCACCAAAACGCGCAGCTATAATCGAGACCTGAAAATTTCTGGAATGAGATATATACATCAAGAGAGAGGAGAGAAAATGTCACTAGAAAAAAGGCAATCCATATATTGGAACTGACTGATTATCCAGTAGGAATTGTATTAGCATTGCTCGTTAACACCTTGGGGTATCACGTACGTGTTTTGATTCGCCAAGCATAATAACTTGTATACAATAAGTTCAGTTTGTCAGCAAGCGTAGGAAGAGAGCTCTCACAGGTTGACAATGAATGCGATTATAAACTAGCATATAGTCAGTATAAACAATTGTGGCTCTGGCCGCTGAGAATTCACCTCTGTAGCGAGCAAGGCCTATAGTCACAAGTATGAGCTAGGGAACAGATGATACATATATTGTAATAACTTACTGTGATCTCCCTGATAGTTAAGAAAGAAAAACGATATTGGCACAACATCACAGCTAACGAATGCTTTCTGCGACGTACCAATCAACACGAACGAGTGCTTTTAAATCTGAGAAGCCTCTAACAAGGTAATGGTCCATAACGCTCATCGATAACGCTGCATGGAGCGTTTCCAATATCCTGTAACCGCATAGTGAGTGGCGTCCTAAAAGCTTCAAGAAAGAAGAGGCCAGAACCATACGACTGTTATCTATCCAAAAACTCAGTGACAGGCTAATGTGAATGTCTTCGAGTATAATAATGGTGCTCGTACCATAGTCTGAATACTCCAGTGATCTTTCGCATGATGCTGGAAATACAGGAACACCTGAATGCATGTGATACCATACAATCTGGAATCCATGTAGTCGCCCCAAATTACTCCAGGTCAGTTCCATATGTAGACAAAAACAAAGGCCTGACATTGATTACTATTACTCACAACATGCTAATGAAGACTCCCATCAAAGGTCCGCGCATAAGCTCTTCAGCAAGAGTAACGTTCATAGCGGGTGAGGGAGGTCGTGAGAGCAGAGAACTAGCCCCTCAACGGTGGCAAGTTATATAAGGACCCAGCCTAGTTCATTTAAAGATATCATGATGCATCGAAGGCCCGGAAAGATGGACTATTGCATATGTGCAGTTGGCATCAATAACAAAGATGGCCTTTGGACAGATAAGCGCTGAGCGATTGATAAACATCTAGCACTTCCAGATGTTGGCCATCCTGTTAATGAGTGTTATTCACGAGTGGTGGAAATGATTTATACGTATTACGAAGAATAGTCAATGGCGGAGAGATTTTCAGATATCCTTGAAAGACTTACTGTCGCCGGTGCTGCATATACCCAGGAATCAGGACGAGTGTGCGCAGCGATTTCACCCCCTAATTGTGATATGAAGAAAGATCTGGATTGACTCAGACAGAGTGTAAGTACAAGAGTTCAAATATACACCGTTTTAAGTCTGAATGCCGATGCAAAAGTTATCCTTAAAGTCTTCTTAGTTGAAAGCCCTCGACGCGGTTTGTATCGGCTCGTCTATGGAAATATTGGATGGAATCTAAGTGCATATGGCGGTTGCAGTACATCGTACCAATTGCAATGAACTTTGTGCCATCTACAGTTGACCAGGACCATGTAGAGTTTGTGCAGACGACACGGATAGCCTCCAGGTCAAGAACTCACTCGGGCTCTATCTTGTCCCCCTGGCGCTGAGTCAAGCTATAGATCCGGTCCACTGCATTATGCCACAGCAATGTGATGGATCAAAACGAAACATGCCTCGAGTGATTGAAGTCCGCTTGCAGCGTGGTCACGTGAACAGAGAAAGTAATTCCACGTGACGACACTAGAATTTTCTCCGCGTGTCTGCCATCTTCGACAACCATCGCACACTGACTAGAACGATGACAAGCAACAAAACATATAAAATGGAGGGTGACAGCGCTTTTCCTCATCTTCATTTCAACTTGAAACCCCCAGCTAAGCCTATCATACTCCAACATGTTCGCTTATCAGCCAAATCCCATCTCCAGCCCCTTCTTTGCCAGCCCGCGCACGTATGGATATCCTTACCAGTCTTATGACTACGCTCCTCGTGTGCCTTCAAGGTATGCGTACGCACGAGCTCTAGCCGAAGAAGAACGCAGGGAGCGCGAGAGGCTTGCTCGTCAGAGCCGCTACTTTGCATCGCCTTACGACCCATATGAAGAGGACTATGACAATGCGGATGTCTTCGTTCCAGCATATCGACGCGGTATCGACGTGCGCGAACAAGCCTATCTCCAGGCACTGAAACAGCGCGAGCTCGAACGTTTGCACGCTCTGCATGCAGCTGAAGAGGAGAAGCGAAGACAGAGAGCTGAAGAAGAAGTTCTGCAGCGATTCTTCAACAATTCACGCGGCACAAATGACTCAGTAAGTTGACATCAACACGGTTGAATTTAAATCGGGAGTGCTAACTGCTGTTCCATTAGCTTCATCGAAATTCTCGATCAAAGTCTCGTACCCCACCCTCCTCCACAAGAATTCCTATCAATGTTACAACGCGTTCCGCCTCACCTACCCACTCTACAACTCCCGAATTACCTCACAGTATGAGTGATTCCACTAGCGAGGCGCGAGAAGCCGCTGCGCGGACTATTCAGTCGTTTTATCGGACTCAGCGTGCTCTTCACGCCATCTCTCACCTCCGCCGTGAGCTCGATTCACTTATATCCGACTTTTCATACCCTCGCAATCTTGACTTTCTGGTTGACGGACGGACAATCTCTGTCGATGTCCCTTCCACCTTTAACGAGAGCATAGCAGACAACTGCAGGGAAGAGATCGCCATGGCTCCAAAGCTTGCCTACACCCCGACAAACGTGCCATTTCGCGTTTATGACGACAAGCTGCAGAAACTCCTTGCAAAGCTCGATGCTGTTTCCACTGAGTTTTTGACGGGTGAGGAACGTAAGCGCGTCAGGGAATCTCGCCGTGAAGTGGTTCGCGATACAGAGCGTGAGGCTGCGCGACTGGAGCGGTGGGTGAAGCGTGTTTGGGAATCGAGACGAGATGGAGAGGAGATATTGCCTGTTGAAGAGGAGCCAAGTATGGACGTCGAGGGTGCAAATACCACAGAAGCCAGCGATAGTGTGGGACTCGTGGTTGTTGATGGAGACGACGAGAGTCATAGGATGATACCTGAATATCCCACCGAAGTTGGGAGGCAAGATACCACATCCGACAACTACAGTGACATGGATGGATCTCAAGATCTGCAGACAGAAAACGTGCAGGTCGGTGAAGATGACGATGATGTAACGGTGGTGGATACTTCATGTGATCCCTCTGAAGACGTATCATCCCCAACGAGCGGTGAGCTAAAGTCGATCATGCCAGACTCGATCCAGATGTGCGAGACAGATGCAGTCAAAGTGGAACAGGTTGAGGAGGGTATGGAGAAAGGATTTATTGTAGTTTGACTGTACTCACTTAATATATCGAAAATATGCCACCAGACTCAATAGTTTATAATATACAGCTGACACGATATACATGAGACACTATCTGCGCAAGAAATTGTTGATATACAAGTACAAGTAAAGCAGACACATTCTCTCCATTCAAAGCAACTATTTCTGCGGTTACAGTTTCATCCCTGTCGAGTCTTCCTGCACCTATCCTTGGATTGAACAATGATCGAGCAATCCACAGGTGACGACCTGGGAACCTGGCTTTCACATTGCGTTACTAGTGACTAGCACTGGTAGGTGCCAGTTGTGCTTCGAAGGTCTTTGCGAGTAGGTGCAACTCTGCTACTTCCCACAAAGCGATCTCGTGCTCGCACCCTTCTCTAAAAACACCAGAAAGCTTATCGAAGTCGTTCTTCCACTGATTATAGTGGGGTATAAAAAACGCTGATGATGCCAACGGTTATACGACTGTGAAACATAAAAATCGAAATACTCACCGATTTGCTTTTTGGCTGAAGAGTCATTTGCATTTTCTAAAACCCAGTTTTTATACCAAAGTATGTCTGAGGATCACAAATACTATCAGAGGTGGCTCATCTGGTGTTCAATGTCAAATTAGTAGGTACTACCTTGGTGGACAATTTCTCCTTTCAACTTTTCCGCTATAGCGTAATACGACTATAAAGTAATATAAGAACCTTGTCAGTCTGTAAATTTTACCTACGTACTTGAATACAGGGAATCATCGCTGTTAACCCACTGATCCAGTTATACATTTGGCTGTATTGACCTGGAAGCTGGAATAATTCGTGACTGCGTCTTCAGATCCAGCTCCAAGAACAACCCAGTCAGGAATGTTCAATGTTGAGGGATCGGTACAGGTTTTAAGCATATCAACCGCATATCCTGCATCGCGTCCAATTTTGGCAGCAAGTTCTTCATATATTGCGGATGTGGTAGCTTTTTTCGACCGTTCGGTGTCAAATAGCATCAAATTTGCGCAGTACTTGAAATCTTGCTGTATCAAAGGATCGCCATGACTAGAATGAAGCTGGAGATGATAAGGAAAAACGCACAATCATATACCACAGGAAGCCTATTGTGACCATCTTGTCATCAGCACTAGCGACCTTCATAGATTGATAGAATTTGTTATTCAACAGCTTGTCATAGATATCTTGATTCGCTTCAATAAGACGCGCAACAAGATCTCTGATCACTAAGTCAGCCAAACATGTTCAAGAGAATTATTGATGTAGACAAACTGTTCTTTATCTGCAGGTATGCCATGGAGTTTTTCACTGACACGGATAAAGGGAAGGATTTTGTCGGTATCTCCTTTCGAAACACCAGTCTTAGGGTCATCGTAGAAGCCCTGGAGGTCATCAATAGCGCATTGGAAACGAGAAGAGTGCGTAGCTTTGGCGTAGTTAGGCATGGTAAAGGTTTGTTTGCCACTCAGGTCCTCAGGATACTAGTAGGAGAAGTATTGAGAATGCACCAGCCAGTGTAGCATCTTACTCCTTATATACTCAAATAGACAGACGCTCTCTGAAAAGTGCTGAACCCAAAGCGTGTTCATTGAATGGAAGAACCATTGTTAATCGGTTAGGAAAGCAGTTCACAAACAACCAGAGGAATCTAGAAGATAAAATGGGGTTTGCTGTAATATGACAAAAGTACTTGTTAACGTACCACCTTGCTTGTTTAATTCAAATCCAAGATGAAGTCAGTTTGATATGGCATAGAATTGAAACGAGGCAGCCAAACATGCTTCGACGCTTGGAGCTTGTGCCCTACAGTACTCCTATAGCTGGTAGATGGTTAGTCGCTGGCTGCGGAGAAGAGAGGTACTATCATTATGGTACAAGATGCTAAGCCGAGGATGTTACAGTACCAAAACCAGCGGCGAGTCACGATAACCAGGGTATACCGGATCGATTAGTGTGGTTACACAATACCATCCGATGTCTACTGTCACGTAAATGCTGCATGTGCATCATGATTACTACCTGAAAGAGGTTACGAATTTCAATGACTGTAAGCAAGTAAAAGTCTCAGTTCAATGTGCAATCGTGATGAACTGAGGGTTTAATGTAGTGTTTGTTTCTCACGGTTTGTTGGTGAGCTTCAAGTTCTTGTTGCAGCATTACGACTGCAACATCATGATATGATACTCCTACACTACCAACTCACCCTCGTTTGGAACCTTGAGATCTTGATACCAAATAAGTTCAGTGTGTATACCACTTCTACCTCACAAGACTCAACTGTAATCTCGATGGGTCAGCCCACCTTTTCCATTTTAGTGGGTGATGGTATCTAGAGGTTACAACCTACCCATCTAATCACTTATTGCTTGTACTTGCACGCGAAAGACGTCCACCGCTGAATTTGGTACCGAACAAGAATAGGGGAAATTTCAAAACAATAGAACTTGGCAGCCCACATACTCCAAGGCAAGCAATTTTTGATCCCCGCGCATGATATCTAGTAGCAGATTGGGAGGAAAGGAGACATCTTTATTCCGCACGGGAAGAGACTTCCGCCGCTGAATTAACAAGTTCCGAACGAGAATGGGGTGGGGAGTTGATAATGGAATTGGTAGCTCCACTGCATCTCGGTTTTCTACGCGGCTTTGAAGCTGTACAGATTGAGGATAGATCAGGCTCCTCCACACCTCTGTTTCGAGAGGAGGACTAAGTAACCCCAGGCTCCTCCCCATCCACTGTCGCGAGAGAGGTGGATGATTACTAGGGCGTTGAGGACAAGGTATATTGCTAGGTAGTCTCCCCGGTCAGACCAAATTACTGATATGACTTTGCGTTGCGTGACAAGCTCGCTCAAGCTCAAGCTCAGTGTGAGCTGTCGTTATCGTTCTCATGTTTAAAGGACTTTATGTTATAACATGCAAAATAGCTATAGGTCAGTCGGAGCCGCAGAGGACTATTCAAACCCCCGAGTCAGTGAGGACTAGTGAGGCCTAGTGAGGAGTCAACGAGGCAGCCGAAAACCGCTCCACAGGCTAGCCAAACGTGCGGAACAGACAGTCCTATTACTATTCTTTAATTCAGACTTAATTCAGACTTGGGGCCGTTGGTCACGCAAGAAGAATTTGCGATATGACTAGGAAGCATCTATATAGTCTCAGATGAGGTGTTACCAGTATCTTTACATTCATCAGTTTTCATTAGCATGGCGAACTATCTATCCTTGCCATATACCGTCACGGGAAGTTTGGTAGTTTTTTCTGCCTATTACATATGGCGCTCCTACTCTTCTCGCCGATACAAGCTTCCTCCAGGCCCACGACCAGACCCCATCATTGGAAACCTCCGTCAATTTCCTAAAGGTAACCAGCCAGAGGTTTTCAGTGAGTGGGGCAAGGAGTTCGGTATGTTGTCACGTCTGTGCCAGGGTCGACATCAGCTCACTGTTCGTAGGGGATGTCGTCTACGTACAGATATTTGGGCGGGGTGTATTGGTGCTGAACTCTATACGAGCAGTCAATGACCTACTGGAGAAGAGGGGCTCGATTTATTCTGATAGGCCACGACAGGTCGCTTTTGGCGAACTGTAAGTTTCGTCCATTTCGTCCGCTTTGGTGGCTCATTGTCTTTACACAGGTTGGGAATGGAGAAAGTCTTGTCTCTAATGCCCTATGGTGAACCTTTCGTTCCGTCCACTTACGACACAAGAAGTGCACAACCTCCTCAACGGGCTTCTGACAAGGCCTGAGTTATTCGCAAACCATATAAGAAGGTGAGACGCACGCTTTTTCTTCAGCCGAGTGATTTTTCACGAATATGTAGATTTGCGGCGGGCACGATAATGCAAATCACATATGGTCACGCCGTTGAATCTATAGATGATCAATATATCAAGCTAGCAGACGACGTATTGGATGCAGCTCTCAATTATGGTTCTGCAGGATCAGAGATTGTGGACCTCATTCCTGTTTGTGAGTCTGGCTCACCAACTGGGCGTAAATTTTATACAGGTGTTAATAGTCACTTCAGTGAAATATTTGCCAGAGTGGATGCCTGGCGCTGGTTTCAAACGACGAGCTGCTGTGGTCCGCAAACTCGTTCGTGCTATGATGCAAACACCCTTCGAGATGGTCAAAAAGAAAAAGGTATTTCCTTTCACAGCTCGTATCAACTTCTGGCTTAAAGCACCTACAGAGCCTTGGAACTTGCCAACCATGTTTCACCTTATCCTTGCTAGAGAATCAAAAGAAGACGCACGGTCACATGGATCCTGCTGAAGCTGAAGAGGACATGATAGGCATTTCACAGGTTCTTTATAGCGGTGAGCTATACTCGCGAAATCTCAGGAAGAAACTCTAACTAATACTTATAACTTAGCTGGGTCCGATACTGTAAAAAATCAGCTGGTTTTACTCATGTCACCAGGTTGATTATTTTTCAGGTCGCTGTGACTTTGCATACCTTCATACTGGCCATGGCTATGCACCCAGACATTTACAAGAAGGCCCAGGATGAAATCGATCAAGTGACTGGTGCCTCTCGACTCCCGAACATTGAGGATAGGCCAGAACTTCCTTACCTAAACTGTATCATGAAGGAAGTACACCGGTACGATGGACTACTTTTTGTCATTTTTACAACATATCTAAAACATTCTCATAGGTGGAACCCTCCTGTCCAGCTTGGTATGCAATTTACTACTATCACCCTCATGTTGTATACTTATCATGAGGTTTTTTAGCTTTGCCGCACAAACTCATGACCAAGGATGATGAGTATCGCGGGTATTTCATCCCTCAAGGTACTACAGTGATCGCAAACGTCCGGTACGTACTTCAGCCCATTCATGTACGACGTCACATTTATGGCGTAAATTGATCACAGGGGAATGTTGCAAGATCCCGAAATATATCCCGAGCCAGAAAAGTTCCGTCCAGAACGGTTCATGGAGATGACCGCAGAAGACGCTGAGCGCTATGATCCTCGGGGGCCTGTATTCGGATTTGGACGACGGTACGATGTCATCTCCATTCGAATGACCATTAATTGAAGTCATCTCTAGTGTATGTCCAGGAAAATTGTTTGCAGGCATGCAATTCTTCCTTGCAGCCTCGCGTATCACCGCCACCTTTGATATATTAGCCTTGCCGGACGAACACGGAAAAGGACCCTCTGCAGCCTTCAATGGTACTATTGTCAGGTACTTTGATCGCGTCTTTGCTCCCCTGCTCCGGTTAATCTATATTCCTTGTATGATTCAGTCATCCACGGCCGTTCAAATGCGACATCAAGCCTCGTTCTGAGAACTGTCGTCAACTGATTTTGGAAGAAGATAGTCAAGCAGGTAGTGTGTGAAATATGCCACTGTAATATCAGGCAGGTTCAGGATGTGGATATGCTGGTATGCTATGATGTAGCAGAGTTCCACCGGTGTTTTTGGTAGATACTCTTTCGATATTTCTATCTAAAGCTCAGAATGAACCATTTTATGTGCGCATAGCTAGTCTCAAATCCGAGTCAGGTGTACGAGTTTAACAGGCATATATGGTTCCTCTGGAAGAACACGAGGAACCAAACTAGAATTGAGCTGTTTTAATTACAAGTGAACACCTGTTATCGTATGATAGCCATAAGAAAAAACAAATATGAGCTGAAAGAGTGGGTGGGTAGTGAAAGCCAACGGGTAGAATGCTGGAGACAGGTTACTGCACAGACTATTCAGTGGTTTTATGATGCTCAACATGTTCTCTACGCCATTTCTCAAGTACGCCGCGAGCTTGACTCACATGTATCTCTGCCTTTTCGTACCCTCACAAACTTTTATTTTCTGACGTCCTCGAAGACGATCGTCACAGTAGGGAAGAGGATATGAACAATACTCCAAGGTTTATGTATACCTCCACACATGTGCCATATCGCGCATATGTCGGAAATCTGCAGAAACATGTGAAGCTAGACGCTGTTTCACTGAGCGCTGAGCATTTGGCGCGTTGATGCGATTCCTGTTGGAATGGGTGAATAGTATCGAGAGATAGAAGAGGTTCGATGGTTTGATGACATAATGTTCCGTTTTGACTCATACCGCAAGATGTTGTACATGCGCCTTCTGCCAGTGTATATACAACATGGCTCAAACTCAGTGAGTGCCGTTATCGTTACCATGTTTCAAGGACTGTATGTTATAACACACAAAAAAATAGCTATAGGTCACTCGGAACCGCAGAAGACTCTTCCTAGAAATTTCTGAGTCAGTGAGGGGTCAACGAAGCAGCCGGGAACCGCTACTCTGTCTTCTATCCCGCCAATGCCGGGCTTAAGCTTCACAGGCAGTCATTCAGACTCGGATCCGTTCGTCACCCAAGGAGAGTATGGGATATGACTAGGAAGCAGCAATATAAAACCCAATGATCTCAGGTGAGGTGTTATCAGTATCTTTACATTCACCAGTATTCATTAACATGGCGAACTATCTACTATCCTTGCCATACAGCGTCACGGGAAGTCTTGTAGTTTTTTCTACCTATTGCATATGGCGCTCCTATTTTTCTCGCCGATACAAGCTTCCTCCAGGCCCACGACCAGACCCCATCATTGGCAACCTCCGTCAATTTCCCAAAGGTAACCAGCCAGAGGTTTTCCGTGAGTGGGGAAAGGAGTTCGGTATGTGTTGTCACGTCTGTGCCAGTGTCGACATCAGCTCACTGTTCGTAGGCGATATCATCTACGCACAGATATTTGGGCGAGGTGTATTGGTGCTGAACTCTATACGAGCAGCCAATGACCTACTGGAGAAGAGGGGTTCGATTTATTCTGATAGGCCACGACAGGTCGCATTTGGCGAACTGTAAGTTTCTCGTCCCTTTCGTCCGCTTTGGTTGTTTATGTTCTTTACACAGGTTGGGAATGGAGACAGTCTTATCTCTAATGCCCTATGGTGAACCTTTTAGGAGGCATCGACGTCTCATACAAGATCACTTCAATCGCTCCATGGTAGAATCATTCCGTCCACTTGTAACGCAAGAAATACATCACCTCCTCAATGGGTTTTTGACAAGGCCCGAGTTATTTGCGACACATATCAGAAGGTGAGACGCACGCCTTTTCTTCAGCCGAGTAGTTTTTCACAAATATGTAGATTTGCGGCGGGCACGATAATGCAAATCACATATGGTCACACCGTTGAATCTATAGACGATCAATATGTCAAGCTAGCAGACGACGCATTAAATGCATCTATCGATTATGGTTCCGCAGGATCAGAGATTGTGGACCTCATTCCTGTTTGTGAGTCTGGCTCACCAACTGGACGTATATTTTATATAGGTGTTAACCGTCACTTCAGTGAAGTATCTACCAAAATGGATGCCTGGCGCTGGTTTTAAACGGCGAGCTGCTGTAGTCCGCAAACTCGTTCGTGCAATGATGGAAACACCCTTCGAGATGGTCAAAAAGAAGAAGGTATATCCTTTCGCGGCTCACATCGACTTGTAGCTTAAAGCACCTACAGAGCCTTGGAACTTGCCAACCATGTTTCACCTTATCGTTACTAGAGAACCAAAAGAAGACGCACGGTCGCATGGATCCTGCTGAAGCTGAAGAGGACATGATAGGTATTTCACAGGTTCTTTATAGCGGTGAGTCATACTCTCGGACGCTCACGAAGATGCTCTAACTGAGCACTTCTAATTTAGCTGGATCCGATACTGTAAATTTTCAGCTGGATTTACTCATGTCACTAAGCTAATTATATTTCTCAGATCGCTGCGACGTTGCACACCTTCATACTGGCCATGACGATGTACCCGGATATTTACAAAAAGGCTCAGGAAGAAATCGATCAAGTGACTGGTGCCTCTCGACTCCCGAACATTGAGGATAGGCCAGAACTTCCTTACCTAAACTGTATCATGAAGGAAGTACACCGGTACGATGGACTACTTTTTGTCATTTTTACAACATATCTAAAGCATTCTCATAGGTGGAACCCTCCTGCCCAGCTTGGTATACAATTTACTACTATCACCCTCATGCTGCATACTTACCATGAATTTTCGCACAGCTTTGCCACACAAACTCATGACCAAGGATGATGAGTATCGCGGGTATTTCATCCCTCAAGGTACTACAGTGATCGCAAACGTCCGGTACGTACTTCAGATCACTCATGTACGACGTCGAATTTATGCCACCAATCTATCACAGGGGAATGCTGCAAGACCCCGAAATATATCCCGAGCCAGAAAAGTTCCGTCCAGAACGGTTCATGGAGATGACTGCAGAAGACGCTGAGCGATATGATCCTCGGGGGCCTGTGTTCGGATTTGGACGACGGTACGCTGAATGACATCTCCATTCGAATGGTCGCTTATTATAATCATCTCTAGCGCATGTCCAGGAAAATTATTTGCAGACATGCAATTCTTTCTAACAGCCTCGCGTATCACCGCCACCTTTGATATATTAGCCTTGCCCGACGAAAACGGGAAAGGACCCTCTGCAGCCTTCGTTGGTATTTCTGTCAGGTACTTTTAATCGCCTTCTTGTTCCCCTGCTCCGGTTAATTTATATTCCCTGTATGATCCAGTCATCCACGGCCGTTCAAATGCGACATCAAGCCTCGTTCTGAGAGCTGTCGTCAACTGATCCTGGAAGAAGATGAAGCAGGTGGTGTATGAAATGTGCCACTGTATAATCAGGCAGGTTCAGGATGTGGATATGCTGGTATGCTATGATGTAGCAGAGTTCCACCGGTTTTTTAGTAGACATTCTTTCGGTACTTCTACTCCTAGTTCGGAATGAATCATCGGATTTTATGTGCAGCACTCGCGAGCTCATGACGTTTAACAATTCGCAAGAAAAAAAAGGAAAGCATTGTCAGTGATCAATAGTTTTACAACTACGCTGAAGTTACTGCAGAGTTACTGATTATATTGCTGATTTGTGAGTCCCCAAATAGAATATATAGATCTGCGTAGACTGTACATATTCTATATAAGGTGGTATAATGGATCATCCACGATAAATAAAACAGATATTGAAAATGAAGTCTACATTTTTAAATTGGGTGAAGATTATTGCTGGAGATAAAGTAAAAAGGTGGCACTATACCAGTCACTGGGACATACTATCATCCATGTCAGTGCGAATCCGTTTCACACTGGCAAGTCCTAACTGATCCGGTTCCCTTTCCGTATCTTTTATTCCTCTACTCCGTTTTCCTGGGATTAAAGATTGCATAGGAGCTTGTTGAAGCGGTTCCGCAGAGATGGGTTCTGAGGGGCTAGGTTGAGCGATTGCAGCACTATCCCGTGCAGCAAGTAAGGAGGCCATTCTCTCATGACTCTCATGACCCAAACGTAATGCACATTGAAGCGGCGAGTCTCCGTCGTCATTTGGCAAGTTCGTGTCGATGTCATGTCTGGAGAGTAGATGTCCTACAAGAGATTCGCATCCGTTCTTTACTGCTATAAAAAGAAGGGTTTCCCCCTGCTTGTTTTTCCAGTTCACGTGAACATCTCTTCTTGCAAGCAGTAATTCAACAACTTCGGCCTTCTCTCGATGCACTGCACGTGAAAGTGGTGTCCAACCTTCTTGGTCCTGCGAGTTGACATCCACGTCGTCAATGGCCAACAGCAGTTTGATGATCTCCATGTGTCCCTTATAAACAGCTGACGAAAGTGGCGTCCGACCGCAATTATCCTCCGAGTTCACATCCACTCCATCCCTTGCCAACACCAGCTTGACGATCTCCACATGTCCCTTATTAACTGCTGACGAGAGCGGCGTGAAACCGTAATCGTTCTTTGAATTCACATACATTTCATCCCTTGCCAACAGCAACTTGACGACCTCCAGCTGTCCTTCAAAAACTGCTCGCCCGAACGCCGTCCAACCATTATTGTTCTTTAAGTTCACATCCACTTCATCCCTAGCCAGCAATAGCTTGATAATCTCCAGCTGTCCGTCGAAAACGGCTTGCACGAGTGGCGTCCAATCAGTATGGTCCCTTGCATTTACATCCACTCTATCCTTCGCCAACAGCAGCTGGACGATCTTCACGTGTCCCTCGAAAACTGCTCGCATGAGGGGTGTAAAATGGTAATCGTCCTTTGAATTCACATTCACTTCATCCTCCGCCAATAGCAGCTTGACGATCTCTACATGTCCATTATGAGCTGCTGACGAAAGTGGCGTCCAACCGCGGTTGTCCTCTGAGTTCACGTCCACTCCATTCTTCGCCAACAGCAGCTTGACGATCTCCGCATATCCCTTATGAGCTGCTAGCATGAGCGGCGTCCAACCATTACTGTTCTTTGAATTTACAATCACTCCTTTCCTCGCCAACAGCAGCTTCACGATCTCCACATGTCCCTTATTAGCTCCTGACGAAAGTGGCGTCCAACCGCCATCGTCCTGTAAGTTCACATTGACTCCATTCACCAACAGCAGCCGGACGATCTCCACATGTCCCTTGAAAACTGCCCCCATGAGCGGTGTAAAACCGTACTTGTTCTTTGAATTCACATCCACTCCATCATCCCTCGCCAACAGCAGCTTGACGATCTCCACATGTCCATTTGTAGCTGCTTTCAAAAGCGGCGTATTACCAGACGTATTTTTTGGATCGGCAAGTACGTTTCGCTCTGCCAATAGCACTAGCACAACCTCTATTCTCCCGTTGTTCGCTGCGATACCAAGTGGTGTGTTTTCATCACGACCATTCCTCGAATTGACGTCATGACCTCGATCAAGCAGTAGCTTCACCACTTTGGCATGCCCTTTGTCTGCGGCAATATACAGTGGTGTTCTTTTCCACTTGTCTCTTCCGTCGACAGCATTATCTTTCTCCAACAAATATTTGATAGTCTGATAAAGACCGAAGTAGGCACACAGATGCAATGCTGAACCCCCGTTGAGAGTCTGGCCATATGTGTATTTCAGGGCATTCTCGACGTTCGCATCGCAACCTAAAAATTCGCGGATCACCATCGAAATTGCCTCCTCGACACACTGCGCATGATGACCCCAATGTTGTCGAGCGTAAACAATGAACCCTTGACTGCGAGAAATACCCCCAGGATATACTTCTTTCAGTGAAGGCTTAGAGAGAGCGTTGAGGCATATATTAGTGATATGCGCGTGGCTGTCTGGGAAAACCCAATCACCACGTTTCAAGAAATATTCATGAGCAGAATAATCTGACGCAAACGGATTTAGCAGTGACATTTGGATCATGAACCAAATTACTTACGGATCAAACGACATACATCCTTCTCTCCATCATCAACAAGTAAACCAGCACTGGCATCCATTATGGCCGTTTTAGCCACCAGGTCATCAGTGCCGATTATACGCAGACCAGTTGAAAAGGCTAGAGCTTCCTGGAGCTCCATGAACAATAGCGGTCGAAAAGCCAAAACAATCAACGTGATGGCTTTCTTAGCTAGTTCTCCATGTCGACCTTCACCTATCCGTTGCGTGGTTTCGTCATAAGCACCTCCCACCTCCTTAGGGAGATTTTCAAGGGCACGCCGAACCTCATTACGAGTAAGTTTGTGTGCTAGTATATCAACATGCAGACGAGATAGCAGAAACCTTGACTGGCACGTTAAATTCTGGTGTACGCCAAGAATACGAAGAATTCTATTGAGTACTTACATGCCTTGACCCTCTTTTGTCAGCCGCTCAATAACTTCCCTTCTAAAGGCGTCATCACCCAACATTTCGTTCAATTGTGTCCGTAAGCAAATGCGGTCTGTAATATAGCTGCGTACATCGTCTGCACGCGCACGAATATCCATGCGAAGAGCTTTATGAAGGACTGCCTTGATCGATGATATGTCACGAGAAGTCACCAACAAACTACCTTCCAGAGATTGCAGACAGCGCAGAATCTCAGAACGAGTATCATCATCCTCAGAAATCTCGTCTAAGGCATCCACTACTATAAAGACCTGGGAGTATTCTTTGATTTCTTTGATTAACGTATCGCGAAACTCAGAAAGAGTCGGACGGAAGTCTTGTTCTCGATGACGTTTGAATTCTTCTTTGATGCGCGGGAACGTAATGGGGAAATCTTGTACAAGCTGTTTCAGTAGGCTTGCAACGAGGTTACAAGCTGTTTGTTTTGGGTCTTTATAGCTGCAATAAATGTAGACCACAGCAGCGTTGTCCTTTATGTTCTTCTCGAGGTGGTTAATGATGTATGACCTGGTCAAAATGAGCGTGATGATTGATCAGGATAGATCCGAGTTATTCGCTGCTAGACTCACGCAAGAACAGTCTTCCCAGCACCAGCTAGATGACTCTGCATATCAGTAAACGGGTCATGTTGAATGTGATTGCAACGGTGTACTTACGAAACCCAGGACACCAAAGAGTTTTCATGTCTCCATTTTGCCATCGCTTGAACCTCTCATCATTGAGCACCCATCCTCCGGTTCCCTCTCGCCAAACCCCACGAACTTCGCTCTGTGTTTGCCGAAAATTCAGAGGGGACAGCCAGTTTTCGAGTTCCTTGCGTTCTTTCAAGGTAGCTGATTCAGAACTATCTACTGTGCTGTATTAGACTACATTCTGGTAGAAGTAAAAGGAGATATATCTCACCGTTATCCTGAGAATAGGAATAGTTGATTGTCGTGTTATGTGTTTGAGTACAATGAACTTCATTGTTGATTTGAGGGCCATAGACTTCGTTGAATCTACCATGGCGAGCGTCAACAAGGGGGGATCGCGCCACCATGCCTCTGACATCAATATCGCTGACATCCGGAAGCGAGGACTCCGCAATACTCATATCACTGTTTGACAGAAATTTAAACGAAATGGCCTATAGTGAATTGGAACTCGATACCTCTGCGATGGGGCATGAACAATGTAGTTTAGATGGCATACACTGGTGAAGAGAGCAAGGAAACGTGGTTACAAGCAGTTGAACATGCTGCAACTGCCGGTATACCCTATATATATCCTCGACTTTTTCGTGACACCCGATTGAAAGACCACAAGGATGACTCAAACGCTGGCTTGTTTTGGCAGGTTTTGCATCAGGAATGTCTGTTATGACCGGTATATATATCCTTTGATTTATTGTTCCAATGAATCACAGTCTGATAGCTGCAGAACTTCAAGTTATGCTCGTGAGATCCTATGGATTTAGAGTAAAGTACAATTGACATCTGTATGTCCATCAGGCATCAAAGTCGCTTTCATCTAGCAACCTCCCTTGTAACAATTTCCCCATATGAGTAGGTAAGAAACTCATTCCCTTCCGACGTAAACCAATCAAAGCTTTGAGGGAAGGTACTGGACTTTCGTGGAACGATGAGAAATATCTTACATCTATAGGGCGGTCTACTGGCTTGATAAACCCGTCGCTCTGGGTGACAGCGCTTCTCGTCTCTTTCGAGCGTATGCCTAGGAATTCACAAAGTCGCCGGTACGTCTCGTAGTTCGGTAGGTAGAGCTGACCTGCCCATAGATTGAGCTGGGTTGTCAGCGCAGGGGGTACAGTCCATATAGCTGGCAATGGAGGAATGCAGTATAATTGTAGATCATCACATGGCTTCATCGATCGAGTCACTCTTGGTGTATAGATGTGAAGGCGTACTTTCTTTCTTCTTCGTATCCCAGGGAGCAACACGTTCACTTCGTGGGGGCTCACGATGACGAGAAGCAAGCTGGTCTGGAAAGTGGAGGAGAGAATCCACTGAGTAGGCCGCAGGTAATCTTGAGCCTTTTGAGATGTGTAACTTTGAATGGTGGTCGCAAAGTCTACAGTTGCTAGGAAATTAGGTGTCCATGCGAGGCTTCCCTGGAACACGATGTTTGTTCCCACTAATGTAGCGAAAGCAGGCTTGATAGCGCGCGATCCCACTGGGATGATACCAGTTTGAACAAAGTGCTGCACATCTTTATGGACCCGATGCAGAGCTGCAGTTGCCTTGGGAGGCCTTTCAATTTGTCGCTCGCATCCAATCTCGTGGACGACTTCTCTTTCTTGCTCCTCTTCCATTCCAGCCGCTCTGATAGATAACACACCGAGTTGCAAACACCTTGCACGGATCTCTGGTATTCTCAAGGCTGCGTGAGTATGCAACGCATCTAAACCATACATTTCCTCCAGGGTTTGAGCCTCCTGTTGCAACCACGCAGACGCTAGTTCTTCAGAACTAATGTCTTGGGAGGAGAATTTAGACCAGGCGGCTGCACGGACCTGATGGTCAACCCCTTGCTGAGCCCACTGGGAAGCGCGTTGCTGGATATCTGTACACGTCTCTAGCATTACCCATCGGAGTATGTCTAGCGTGTCAACCCGTTCATCAGAGGATGTCTTCTTGGCAGCTTCACGGATTCCCCTGGCCACTTCTAAAGGCGCGAAAAACATGAGAGAATGTCCGTTCCCCAGCTTACACATTCGCATACAACCTGGTCCATGATTAGGTGTAATCAGCGAGTAAGGAATTGAAAAACTAACCTTGTGCTAGCCTGTCCTTGGTGACTTTCGGGCCTAACGTGACAGCCGCCCGGAACCCAGTGGGTAACTTCACATCAGTTCCTCTGGTATGCGCATCGTCCGGATACAGCAAGCATTGATCTACTTGTTGGTTGAATGGAGACGAGACAAACAGCTCTACATTATTATCGCGATCCACCACAGTCAGTTCGTCGCTCTCGTTGAAAAATATAGCTGCCCGAGCGGGAGAGAATTCGATTATGTGCCACTATATCTGCAATGTATTTGAGTAAATTGGGAACGAAGGATGAGAAGAACTGAGGATCTCGTAGGAACCTCGTGCCCCAGGCCTCATGTCCACGAAATGAAAGATAGCTGAGCACCAGCCAAAAAAGAAAGGGAGTATGAGACCCACACCATCAGAAAATATAACCTGTGGTGCATCTTGGCAAAACCTTGACAACATCAGCACCCAGGAGCTCTAGCTAAGGACACGCTAAGTAAGTACTAGTGGTAGACGATGAGAGCAAAAGTCAGCGTCGGACGGCGAGACGGCATAGTCTCTTTTACAAACTCAGCGGCAGTCCGACGCCCTGATGCAAATTGAGCTAAAATCCTTCGAGAATCAAGAAGCCGGAACATATTCGATAATATTGTACGCGCACAGTGCTTTAACCAACATGGAAGTAACACCATACAAATAGATAGTATGATGTGCAACTGGATAGCTAAAAATGAGCACATATAAAGATCCGCCCTTTATCCCGACGATATGGAAATACGACAGATTGTTCGGGTTCGGGCGGCAGTGCCAGGGCATGCCAGCAGCCAGCCTATCGTGAACACTACCTTTCTTTATCGCCATATCAGCTCCAGCACTCCTCAATCAATCTCCCTTCCCGCTCCATCCCAGCCAAAATCTCGACCGTCGCCTCCTCTGTTTTTCCCCCGTGTGTTTTTATGATCTCCTTCAATGCTGCCCGGACAGCTGCAGGCATCTTATTCGACGATCTAGTTATATATTTTGTCGAAAATTTGTATTGGAAGAATTGAAATTAGAAACGCACCCAGAAATTACGATCCATCCCCGCTTTTCGCCCACAAGTTCCCATATGCGCTTGCCATCCTCAAAGATGAGATCCTGCACGTAAGTTCGTTTTACACCCTCAGGACCATCACGAGAGCATGCGACACGATAAGTGAGTTGTCCGCTTTCTGCGTATGCCTTCCACTCTTTCAAATAATGCTGGTCCTTTGTAGCAGATCGACAGCCAAAATATAAGACGGTCTCTGGATGATAACGAGTAAGCGGGGCTCAAGCAATATAGAAGGCTGTGCTGACCTGTCGAGCCAGTGTGAATCCGCTCTTCAATCACGGCGCGCATCGGAGCAACGCCCGTTCCAGGCCCGACGCAAATCATTGGTGTAGATACATCTTGAGGAAGGCTAATGAACCCTTTTTCAATGCCAATGCAGAGAGTATCACCTAGTGTCGAACATGATAAAACCTAGTCCTGGAAGTATGATCGAACATACCTGGGCGGAGTGCAGCAAGAAAAGTCGAACATACTCCTTTACGTGGGATTTTGAGCTTGGTTCTATATCGAACAATAGCTGCACAAAGATGTATCTCTCGAGGATGTTGCTGTCGTTTCATTATGTGAAAGGAAAAATGGGAAGTTATACACATTACTTGCATACCTGGATGGAGCTCGCAATAGAGAACTGCCGCGGACGCATGGGAGGGAAAAGATCGAATATGTAATCTCTGGGGATCACTACAGACCGAAACTCGGATAGGACTTCGTAGATAGTACGCTTGACACGATAACAATAGTCGTATAAATCATCCTTGTGTATTTTTGTGTCAGTCTTTTCATTAAACAAGCACCATAAGTGACGTACTGCACCCTCTGTGGAAACAAAATCATCGAGTTTCTCTTTCTCTAACTCGCCGGTCGCAAAATGTCGCAGCAACTGAAAAAAAGACCGGCGAGGTACTGCATTGAAGTCTAGATAATTAGTGAATAAAATCCTCAATGTTGTTCTATTTGGTACAGAACGAGGAAAAGTTTGATCTTCACAATATGTTAGTGAGAAAAATCTAAAGAACATTTATAACTAACCCAGCATTGTATGCTGTATCAGCAGTGCCTCATCAGCGATATTTGACCACCCCACCGACAAGAGGAAGGCATCTACATCAGCTGAAGATGCTTGAGGATGAATCACTGCGACATCTCCAGGTTTATACCTTGCTGAATAGTCAGTTAAGTAGATCTGCTACAGCACTGAAATACCTTACTGTATATCACGTTCGAAGGAAAACTCTAAATGCCTTACATCCTGAAACCAGTCATCCGCTGTTATCCGCTGATTGCATTTGACAGTCGCGTTGTGGTACCCTGGATTTGACTCCAGAGATTTTATTGAGTCGTATTTCTTCCCTGAAGGGTCATCGCATATGGAAACTCGTGGTAGATATAGTTGATCCGCTTCACGAGTATGAGTGCTGGGAGATAAAGGATACAAATCCAACAGGGTATCGAGCAGCAGGTCAATCCAAGGATCTAACGCTCCATCTACACTGATTTAAACGAGTTAACTGCAATGTAAATTGATAGATAGTTCACGCTTACCCAAAATGATGCTGCTCGTCTCCTTCTCCTCGACTACATATTTCGTTTGCTCCGAGGCTCAACATTCTTCGGGAGAGCTTCTTCGCAGGCCAACAGAATCTTTCATATGCTGTGTCCCCAAGGCCAAATACGCAGAAATCGATATCTTCAAATAAATCTTCCGGTAAATCATAACGCAGAAGCATATTCCACGTAGGTGTCATCGATCGCGGCTCTATTCCAGAACCCGTCGTCGCAACTACGAATATGACGAGGTGCTCCGAAATTAGCTCTGACTACATCATTTTTAGAGAGAAATCGTTATTAATCTGAGATAAAAAGTTACATAAATCACTTACAGGAGGATATGCGTTCATATTTGTTACCTGGCATTGGAAGTGAATTCGCCGACACGCTCTCGCAATTTTGTCAGCGGTATCCTGAGCCGTACCGGTTTCAGTCGCATACAGAATGCGAATCGTGCGTTCCTCATTAATTTGTGCATCTCCGTTTGATTCTGGGTGCTCGTCGCCATCAATTGGGCTGTTGGGATGATTGTAGACACCTGAGGACATGGCATGTTTTTTCTTATCAGATAAGAAAGGATCTCCTTTTCTTGCTCGTTCGGACTTTGAAATGCGAATATTCGGCCGATTACGCAGAAAAGATCCTGAGAGCGAACGACGACGAGCATCTCATCAGTCCACCGCAGTGAAGATATAGCATCCACGATTCGAGCATAAAGACTCGAACTTTCATCTGGAAATCCAGTATTTCTTCCAGAAGAAATGGCCTCTTATTTTTGAACTGTATACTTTAGTAAGGGGGTCGTCAATTCTTCGGTTCGTAGGCGCCTTGTTATCAATTCGCATGATGCGCGTAGAGCGATATGCCATGTTAGGCCATTACTCTCCTGTGAGTTTGTCCATTTTATAAGCGTCCAGCCGTCACAGGAAGGAGCTACGTGGAACTATCGCAAACGACAACTTGAAGGCAAACGCACACCGTCTTTTGACACTCTGGCTGAAGCCCCATCGGTTGACCGGTCATTTGCGCAGTGAAGGCGGTCAGCGCTCTATGAAAACTGACAAGGTTACCACCTTAAAATACATCTTAAGACACTGAGGCATATTTGGGATTCACGGTGGTCCACGGAGACTTGTGGTGAAAATGTCATCGGAGTATTCATGTAAGTGAATGCTCATTATAATACCCTGAGCTCATTGATTGACACCTTTCTCTAGCTTCAACATGTCATCTTTCGTAGTTATCATACTGTCTTCTATGTTTCAATTCCCCTGCTCAGGTGTGAGCTATATGCATATCTATCACCACTCTATTGTGGGACGATAAGGAAGACCGACGGAGAATATTATGTATGTTATGTGTGTTTTTTTATGCCTGCTTGATTTGCTCATTGTGTTGAAGTGTCCTATTTTCGACTATGGCAACCAAGCAAGTCGGAGACTAGGTGGATAATGACGAATATAGAACATATACCTGACGGTTCGGATGTCTTCGTGTTCGTGTTATTGTTGACTTGGTGTCTCATCTGATGACTTTTGCATGAATGGTTTTCGCCCCATATTTCCGGAAGCCACGCACTACGGATGCTATACATCAAACTCTCTAAAACGCTTGAAGACTTATCACGATGAAGGGGCCATGATTCATCCACAAAGATTTTACCTCCTATTTTTATCAAATTGAAACAACGCAGGACAATTGAAGTTCACGCGCAAAGTCGGGCTTCCACCTAAAGGGCCCATGTAGAGTGCACCATACGCATTACTTTCGTTCATGAATAAAAAACCGTGGAACACTCCTTCATTTTTCCTGAAGCTACGTGATCGTAAATGGTCCAAAGTCCTGCGTCTATCTTTTATCGTAGCAAAGCACTGTAGTCTATTGCGTCCTTCATATTCCGAAGAACGTGATAGAACGAGGAAAGGGGCTATCAAGCGGGAATAGTCCCGTTGAGCCTGAAATCCCTGCTACTCGCGCCAACGGAGAAGGTTATGGTTCCCTCCGGCTTACGCCATCCTTGTGCTACAACATCCCAAACTGACAGATCGTGACGAGAGAATGTGATTGACACAGGGGTAGTTTGACCTGGGGAAACCTCGACGTTCGTGAAACCCTTGAGCACGTTTGGAGGCTCTCCGGATGATGCAGGGAAGTGCATGTACAATTGAGGAATCTACAGACAAGACTTGTCAGTGAAAAATTCAGTGAGGTTACATTACAACCTACCTCTCCCCCATATACAGATCCAGTGTTCTGCACGTTGAAAGTAACTCTGTAGGCAGGTATATGGAGCCTATGATATTTTCTATGAGCCAACTCAAGTTTCCTAAATAAAACTTGCTGAAAACGCACCAGAGAGCAGTAGTAGAGCCTTCTGCAATGGGAGTAGCTCCTCCGTTCTCCCAGTTCTGGATTAAATCCATCTGTGCATAGTCTGGAGGGTTGACAGCGGTTATAGCCAAGTCAGAGTACTCGAACGTAGTGTAACTGAGACCGAAGCCAAACTCGTAGCGAGGAGTGATATTTTGCTACTCGAAATTTATTAGAAAAACTACAGCATGGCTATAATAGAGACTCACAGCGTCAAACCATCGATAATCAATGAACAGGCTAAATGACCAAGATTAACATGGGTTGACAGCGTCAAATCAGACAGCAAGACCCACCCTTCAGTGTAATTGATAGACAAAATATCCGCCGCAGTACCGCCAGTCACAAGCTGAGCGGGGTAGTCCTCGGGACGCTTTGCAATGGTATAAGGAAGTTTTCCAGATGGATTCCAGTTGCCATACAAGATGTCCATAACGGCATTACCCGCTTCGTTACCACCGAGATTAGCCCAAACAATCTAGGAGGAGTTTAACTAGACTTCATAAAAAAAGGGAACGAAAGTTAGGACTGACAGCAGTGAAATTAGGGTGCTCCACCCAAGGCTCCAGAATAAGGGGACCAACGCTGTTGGTCACAACTATAGTGTTATTGTTCTGAGCGGCAACAGCCAGGATCAGTTGGTCTCCTTGATGCCACGCCGTCAAATTCTTCCTGTAAGGCATTACCATCAGAATTGGTAGCACAGCCAAGTGGACAACAGCTTGCTAACCTGTCACCAGCATTACCATCAACTGTGATGTAACCCTGAAAACCCAGTCAAACACATTGTCTATAAAGCACGAAAGAATTATCATACTTCACCCGAATCAGAATTGACGAAGACAATCGCCACTTCCATATCAATGACCAGGTTTCCGGCTTGGTCAAGGTTCCAGTCGTCGAAGTCCCAGAAGACGCTAGTTTGATCTAATCTGGCGCGCTGTTGGATCGCTTCATAGGGCTAGAAGCAGTGATATATATAAGATGATAATGTAGGGGGGAGTAGGAATCATACATACAGATATAAGGTAGGTAAAGTTGTCGGATCTGGCAATATTATGCTAATTAGATACTCCTGTCCATTCGAAAAGGAAATAGACGCACCCAGAACCCCAGCCCATAGCAAGGATACCGGAAGGATCACCACCTTGATCAACATACTCGTTCGGTCCAGTGGTCGGTGGGGCCGCGTCACTTCCGACCATAATAAGACTTTTAGGCTTGTCCAGAGGCAAAGCCCCATTTACGTTCTTCAACAGAACCGTTCCTGCAGCCCCGATTTCTCGAACGACCTGGTAGTGGTCGCTCTGCACGTTCACTTCCTGATTAATTGGATCGTATGCGTTGAATGCATTAAGAGTGACAGGAGGGTAATTTTCATCTTGGTGCATATAGTACCATGCAGCAACAACGCGCGTGGCCATGTCGTCGAGACGGGACATTGAGATGGTGTCATTCATGACGAATGCAGTGAGGTTTCCACCAAAGTAAGAAGTCCCAGAACCAAATTCGATATCACCGGGCATAGTCATCTTTACTTATCGTCAGTAATCATTTGGGAATGATACGACACAAACATACATCCAATCCTGCGACGGCAGACAGAGTTGCCATAGTTGCAGACCAGTCCGACTGAACATCTGGATAATGAGGAAAATTATTAACAGTACGAATATCAAACAATGTACAACCTACATCCTTGAAAACCAAATTCGCGCTTTAACATGTCATTAATGGTTTTGTTGTTGTTGCAGGCGTAGGTGTCGTTGATCAAGTCTGACGCAAACAACATTCAATGAGACAAATCAAGCACGCTTCATACAGAGAAAAACACATACTATAACTGCACATGACAGATGAAACACCAGCCATGACGGCACGCATGAATGGATGGGAGTAAATCTCGTGCTCAGTTCGGTCGTCAACGTTTGATGACTCTTGAGTACGCTTCCATTCTTGTTCGCTACAAGCAGACAACAAACCATGAGTGTGAAACGGGAACGCGCTAATGTATCAACTCAACTTGTTGATGTAGTGCTTTGCTGTAGCCTGAACGCCTCCGGCTTGCATACCCAAGATGGTTTCGTACGCCACTTCGCCGGATAAGAACGGGTCTGCACCAAACCCTTCCCAGTTACGGCCACCTTGTGCAATGCGACCCATATTCATCATAGGACCAAGGGCAACATTGACACCCTTGCCCTTGTGTTCCTGTCCCATAGACAAGCCTCGTAAGCGCATTAAAGCACGGTTCCATCTACAAGATACATCAGCATATACATATAGCAGCATATAACGAGATTTTAACCCACGTTGAAGCAGTGGTGATTCCAGGTGGGAATGAGGTGACGAGGTCTGTATCACGGACACCAAGCGGTGAGTCCTACCAAGGTCCAAATTAGATACTTTACATGAGACATAAATGTAGATATGTACCTGGAGACAAAGACCCGGGAAGTCGCCTACTGCAGGTGTGTTACCGACACATAAACCACCTTCCCAACCAACTCCTGTCGAGATATTTACTTTCTGTTCTACGCTGAAGTCGGCAATCTACAGTTACGAGTACAAGAGTCAGTATAGCACGCATACAGCCACTGAAAATATGAAAACACGAACCATAGCCTTCGCCTTTGCATATGCTGTAGCCCATGATGGTGCAAAGTCGGGAACGATTTGTGGGTCTGGACTGACTGGAGGAGGATACAATGGGTCAGTGACCGGGAAGACCGGGGGATCCGGAGCAAGAGTCGGCGTCGGGTACGGGCTGAAGGTATATTCGGAGATGGGAAGGGTCAGAGGGCCGGTCTCGGTGGCCAAATAGGAAGTTGCGGAGGTCGAGGTCGTCGCTACAGAAGAACTGGAAGTGGCTGAGGAAACCGAGCTCGAACTTGAACTGGCGCTGCTGGCTACAGAACTGCTAGTGCTGGCACTGCTGGCCGACGCACTAGAGGTAGTCGTCGCGGCACTGGCACTGCTGGAGCTAGATGCAGACGATGAGGTCGCTGTGGGACTCGAGGCAAGTGTGGAACTGGACTCGGACGACAAGGCCAAGACATAGGGCAGGAGCAACAGCAGCGACGATAGCCTGAGAGACACCATTCTGACAGAAGGATGTCGATGGGACTATGCAAGACCACTGCACCACTTGGAGGCCCTATTATAAGAATTTGGGGAGGGCAAATTTGCGTGTAATACATTTGGAACGGAATGCGGGCATCTTAGATCACCTCTTCGATCAACATCATCCATGCCAAATCAGGTGACCACGTTCCACTATTATATCTGCTGCAATTGACTTTCCCTTGCAAACCGAATTCAAAGGTATAATGTTATAATGTGTTTTCTTGACCATATTCATGTCTGATTGCACTAGAACACTAAACAAGCTTATAGCTCCACAGCGACTTTGATGATAGAAGAAGACAGAACATCACCTCGGCACTTGACCTGCGCCATTCGTTCGTACCCTCCTTGGATTCCCGGATTTGCCGTTATTGACTGGTTTCTTACGATATTTCTTAACTAACCAGTGCTATATATATTTCCTTTTTCTCGTAACCTGAGAGAAAACAGAAACTCCATCGACACATGACCTCGTTACCTTCTGGACACCGGCCATATCGCCCGTCCTGCTGATACCTGTTTACCACCTGTTTTTAACAATGGTGGGAACTGCAGTGGCAATATCCTTCAAGTGGATTTCCTCTGCACTGAGTAAGACTCTTCGATTTACAACCTGGTGAAACTCTCAAGTCTGCCATAGTACGCTTCACATTCTGAGTCACGCACCGTCCAAAGATATTGAAGTGGTCTCATTACTCAGGTGAGTTCTGTCTCGGCTTGAATTGACAGATTTAGGTTATCGACAGTCCGACAAGCGGCTCGATGATTTCCAAGTTCTTACCCGTTTCCTGCTCCGCGTGTCCATGTCGTTCCATACCCTGAGATTCTTTCTTTCTATATTTTCTAAATCCTCTTATTCTAAGCAACATTCCAGCACATCTGACTTGAAAGGTATTCTTTTTATCCCGATGAATCCCAACTTATGGTATTTGACATATTTCTCAGGGAGTGGATTTTAGTAGCTTGACAGACAAATAATATCATTGTTTTTTGAATTGGTCGCTTTCAAGGTACCCATTGATTTCATTTCGATATCCTCAACCTTGAAGCGAGAAGGTCGCAATCATTACCCTTCTTTCCGTCATGCCTGTCGCCATTCAAATCAGGTTATGTACCCACCAAGATATTTTGTCCCGGACCATCTACCCGATTTTCTCACCCGTCCGACACACTCAGCGCCTGCGAGCCATGAGTCTTTGCGTCAACATCGATGGATGAGCGTTTGTTTACAGCGCGCGGATGTCGTCATCCCCCGAGTTTCTTCCGGGTGCAGGCCTCATGTTCGGGATCTGATCTAGCTCCGTTTTACAGAGATACATCACGACGACTGATTTCGATTGGTATACTTTTGTTCTACATTTAGATCGGGGTCATTCTATCATAGAAATCATGGGCCTACATGCTGATTTACTGTGCAAAAACATGACCATGGACAAGGCGTGCCGCGGTAATTTCTGTGGACACGGGACATAGGAAATGCTTGTCCGCAATCCCTTATAATCCTTTCTCGACTCGCATACCTCCTTTACTGACCTCCGTTTGTCAGGATGCTGTCTCCTAGTTTTGCCTCTGTGCTTGTGCTTTTGCACTGTGTGGCAGGCTGGTCATCCGTCGTCGTCGCGACAAGCCCCGCGGCAGCTGCTAGCTCTTCCTCAACCTCCAGTAGCAGTGCTGCGACGTCTTCTGCTGCGAGTACTTCTGCCTCGAGTACTGCTACAGCTGCACCATCTTCTTCTCCTTCAGGGACTCCTTACCCTTTGAGCGTCACAACCTATCTAGCTACTGAGACTGGTCCCTTGACTCTTCCTATTTCAGAGTACACGTTCAGCCCATATCCTACTCCGTCTACGGCTCCTGACCCTCCGGTCTTCCCTGCTACGGACCCCTTATATCCGCCTCCGGTTAGCGCTGACCCACAAATCGTCCCGGACTTTGCTCCCGCGTGGGCTATAGCGTATGGGAAGGCAAATGCATTGGTCAGTGTTCTGACTTTTTTTTAGCGATTTCAATGTCTGTAGAGACGTAGAAGACCTGTGGGAAATAGATTTACCTTCACAATAACAGCAGCATTACTTCTTATACTCATTTCATCTTTTTAGCTTGCCAACTTCACTTTGGAGCAAAAGGTCAACTTAACGACTGGAGTCGATGGTCGCTGTGTTGGTAACATTGCTCCAACAGGCGATTTCCCCGGTCTCTGTTTGGAGGTACGATTTCCAGCGTCCTACTGGTATATTCCTAGATTCAGTGATTGTATTAGGACTCGCCTCTTGGTGTACGTTACACTGACCTGGTGACGTCGTTTCCTGCTGGTATCACCACAGCTTCCACGTGAGTTTCTGATTCTTGGTGTTTGAGCACATACTCATCGTGCGTATGCAGTTGGAACCGTGCTTTGATGCGCACCAGGGGATTATACATTGGACAAGAATTCAAAGGCAAGGGTGCACACATTGCCCTCGGACCGATGATGAATATGGGTCGAATTCCACAAGGAGGACGTAATTGGGAAGGATTTGGTGCAGATCCATTCCTCTCAGGTGAGGCAGCACACGAGACCGTCTTGGGCATGCAAGCCGGTGGGGTGCAGGCGACTGCAAAGCACTACATCAACAAGTTGAGTGAAGTTCAGATGGACACATGTGCATATGATCTGATCGTTGCACTTAGTGAACAAGAATGGAAACGAACTATGGAGTCGTCAAATGTCGACGACAGAACTGAGCACGAGATATATTCCCAGCCTTTTATGCGTGCTGTTATGGGCGGCGTATCCTCTGTCATGTGCAGTTATAGTAAGCACTGCGAGACTCACATAGTTATCGGAGAGCTAACAACGGCCGTATTTCTATAGACTTGATCAACGATACTTATGCCTGTAACAACAACAAAACCCTGAATGACCTAATGAAGCGAGAATTCGGATTCCAAGGGTGTGCGTACCAAATAACTGGAATCGTCATTATACAATGCTCAGTATCTTCCGTTAGATATCATGTCTGATTGGACTGCAACGATGGCAACGCTCTCTGCAGTAGCTGGACTGGATGTCAGTACTCTGCCTTTAGTCAGGGTATCTGATGTGTACGAAGTAATCGCTCTTTACAGATGACCATGCCCGGACCAATCGGCTTTAGTGGCGATGCCTCGTACTTTGGTGGAAATCTGACTGCCTACGTAATGAACGACACCATCTCGATGGAACGTCTAGATGATATGGCCACTCGGATCGTCGCTGCATGGTATTACATGCATCAAGATTACGACTACCCACCTGTTAGTTTCAACATGAATGACCCATACGACCCCGCAACGAACTATCATATCAATGTCCAAAGCAACCATGACACAGTTGTCAGAGAAATCGGCGCTGCAGGAAGCGTACTTCTAAAGAACGATGGTGTGCTGCCATTGGACAAGCCCAGGAGTCTCATATTGGTCGGTAGTGATGCAGGCCCACCTGAAGCTGGTCCAAATCAGTATGTAGATCAAGGTGGAGACCCCACAGGGATACTTGCGATGGGTTGGGGATCTGGGTTTGTCGACTTGCTGATACCCGTGTTTCTTTCTAATCGATCTGATACCTTCACAGGACTGACAACTTCACATACCTCATTTCGGTACGCTGGGTTTAATTCATCACTGGTTAACTCCCCCTTAATCGTTTATGTATCATTAGCCCTATGAAGCTATCCAGGAGCGTGCCAGGCTGGATCAAACCAGTGTCTTCTGGGACTTTGATAATTGGGACCTTGACCAAGCTGGTAACCTTGTCATTGACATGGAGGTCGCCATTGTTTTCGTGAACGCTGACTCGGGTGAAGTGTGTACCAACCCAAATACTTTTGATTACTATGGAGTTGATAAAACTGAAATAACGCCAGGGATACATTGAAGTGGATGCAAACTACGGAGACAGGTTCGACCACTACGCTCACTTCTCGAGAGCTGTTCTCTGAGCTCCTTTTCAATTATCCAGGAAAAATCTGACTGCCTGGCATGAGGGAGACGAACTAGTCTTGGCAGTGGCTGCGCAAAATAACAACACCATCGTCGTCGTTAACAGTGTTGGGCCTCTCATCATAGAACCATGGATTGAACATCCAAACGTCACTGCTGTCCGTAAATCCATTTTATCTAATTATCATGTTCTCATCAATCCATATCCAGGTCGTTTGGTCAAGTCTTGGTGGTAACGAAGCGGGTAATGCTATAATGGATATCTTGTACGGCAACTGGAACCCGTCTGGCAGGCTGCCTTATACCCTCGCTAAAAGCCCCTATGATTATCCCGCGAACCTTACCACAGGTGGCACTGAAGCTGACATTTTGTCCATAAATTACACTGAAGGGTGCGTTTGAGTTGCCGATGAAGGCTAGCTGTGCTAAATCTTGCGTTCTTCCCAGCCTCTTGATCGATTATCGTTGGTTCGATGCTGTACGTCAGGAATCTTCTAAATTTTCTATCCACTGACGTAGTGTCGTACAGAAAAACATCACACCACGTTTTGAGTTCGGCTTCGGACTGAGCTACACAACCTTCGAGTATTCAAACCTTGCGATAACACCAGTCAGTCCCATGGATAACGCTCAGGGAGACCTCGTCACCAATTGGGAAAATGGAGGTGCAAGTCCGATAGCTGAAGGCTCAACTACAGCTCTCTGGTGAGGGATGAGTCCTCCACTTTTTATGACACCTGCTAACTGGGCAATGGCCCACTGCAAAAGGCTTCACATGCCAGCCTTCCAAGTCACCTTCAACGTGAAAAATACAGGATCAGTGTATGGCGGAGAGGTACGCATATGACCATAGCTGCATTGTATCAATATATCGATGACAATTTTCCAGATCCCTCAGCTGTACCTTCATCACCCCGCTTCTGCAATGGAGCCTCCTTCGATCCTGAAGGGTTTCACCAACATTGAACTCTCGCCAGGAGAAACAGGCTCCGCGTCGATCACTTTGTCACGTTATGACTTATCCATCTGGGACGTTGTTGCGCAAGGGTGGATAAAACCGAATGGAACCATTACTTATTCAGTTGGTGCCAGTAGTCGAGACTTCAGATTAAATGGCACTATTCCATTGTGAGCGAGGGAGATGGGGATTGCGTCGTAAAAATATTGTCATGCTTTCCTCACGCACGTAGATCTAAATTCATCTTTGTCCCTGGATTTTGTAGCTTTTGATTGTATATACTATGGTGACAAGACTTGGATCTGCAGAAGAGGAACAACCATATCCGTATCAGTTTGGTTATCAGATAAGATTTCTATTTGGTCGCGTTTGTCTCCCTTTCCAAGTCCACTGGAACTTGAAGTGGCGTTGGCTGCAAGCAACGTGTACCAGCGACGCCAACGCTCATGAGACTACCATCATGGACGCCGCTAGGAACAGCCCAAATCGACTATCAGGAAGAAAAGACAAGGGAAGAAAAAGATGTAATCAATGATGTTCAGAAGATTCTGTCCTCGAAGTTGTCCCCAGGTATTCTGTCTGCTTTCTTGCTTGGCTCTGTCTCGACAGTTACAATGTTGGTCGTTTACCGGCGATACTTTCGGCGACTAAGAACAGCTGAATGGATTACACCGGACATTATGAAGCAAAGGCGGTGGATCAAAGGTGTCGTGACCAGGTGGGTTTATCATCTCATCCATACATAATACAGTGCTATTGACAGCCACAAAACAGTGTAGGAGACGGAGATAATTTTAGATTATTTCACACTCCAGGAATTGGATGGGGATGGCCATTGAAATTTAGAAGAGTACCCTCACTTAACAAAGGTGCTTTTTCTCAAGAGACGATCAATGTTGGGAGGCCATCTGAAGGTATCTGGATGATTTAGAATTGAAGGACCAGACCATCCATGTCCGCATCGCAGGCGTCGATGCGCCAGAGGTGAGGTCACATTGCACTGGTACACCTGATCTTATTGGCTAATAGAATGTACAAATACAGGGTGCTCATTTTGGTCGGCCGGCCCAGCCTTACGCTGAGGAGAGTCTATCCTGGTTGAGAACCCATCTTCTTGGAAAGACAGTATATTGCCAGCTGGTAAGACGCGACCAGTACGGGCGTATCGTATGTATTATTTTGCTCGCATTCCTATGTACTGCGCTCACCGCAAATTTCAGGTTTCAGTAGTTGTACAGCCTCCTGGCTTTCTCCCTGGCTTCCTTGTATCGGGAAAAAGTCTTTCTCTGGAAATGTTGAAGGCCGGCTGGGTAACGACATATGAACAAGCTGGTGCTGAGTATGGAAAATGGGGTAAAGTAGAATTTCAAAGGATTGAAACCAGCGCAAAGTACGTATTTCCGTTACTCTATATACTGTGTGGCATTTAATTACGATAATGAAGAGCTGCGCGTCGGGGTATGTGGAAGGATGGAATTACAGCAGAGACTCCAGCAGAGTACAAACGCCGATACGGTCGGTCAATGGAATCCGCAGAGGCTGCAGAGGCTGTACAGGATTCTACCAGAAGGAAACACAAGAGAACATTATTCAGTCGTTGGCTAACTAGGCTGTGGCCTTCTAAATGATGTGATGGACCAACGGCCGTCACGACTTTGCAGCTCGGGAATTCAAGTCCGAGTCCATCGCGACTGCAAATTCAGTCATGCCCCATACTGCGTCTTTAGCCCAATGAAGATGTGTATATGTCGTTTCGCCATTAGTGGGCTCGTGTCCCCGCTTTTCATGAGGCAAATCAAATTTCACGTGGAAGTGGCGCTGGAGTTCCACCCTTTGCGCCACTGGTTCTCTTTTCAGTTAAACCGACGTCCTTATGTCACCGGTCACCGCGGTATATATAGTGAGGTCCCTTGCCCTCTTAGCCTCATATTGTTCCTGCTGCGCTTCACAACTCTTCCACTCCATCCGTCATGAAGTTCGCGACTGGCATCCTTTTATCCACTCTTCTCGCTGTTGCCGGCGCCTCGCCTGCACCTCAACAAACAACGCAGAGTACCCCAATATTGCCCAGCGGTGTACCTGCGTACGTTTACCTTTCAAATACGCACCTTTCCCCCCAGCTAACATAGCCTTTTCTTCTCCTATAGCACCTCGAGTGGTGGGCTCCCTTTCAGCTCACTCCCCATTGACACGACAGTTGCTGCATCTGTCCTATCATCCATATCTTCCTTATATTCGTCGGATTCATCTGCTTTTTCCTCTGTCATCTCCTCAATCACTGCCTTGTCACCTTCAACTTCACCAACATCTACTGGACCTTTGGCCTCAGCGCCTACATCATCTCCAACTTCAGCCACTGCCTCAGCACCAGCTACGACAAGCTCGGGCGCAGCTGTCGCTGGTATGAAAGTTGACACCGGTTTGATGATCGGAGCTTTTGCAGCTATTCTTGGTGCCGTGTTTTAAAGCGTCTGAAGGAGTCAGGTGAACGGAGAACAACAGACGAAGGACATTGAGATATATATAATGATTGTTTAGCATGGACTATGATACTATATTATTATGGATCAATTTCGCTGGTCTTTATGCAAGATATAACATAATAAATATCAAAACAGGGTATAGTACCTCAAGAATGTGAGCAATTCGCTCTGTTATTATTATTACCATTTGACCGCGACGTTGAGTGTTTTAGCTGTCGCCCAAAGTTATCATTTACTGGAAGTCATCCCAAACAACTAGTAAGATCAAACTAAATGAGTTGCGAGCGATTCACACTAAAGCAAGCCACTTACAGCTTTAATCTCCCTAACACTCATCTTATGCAACTTGATGCCCGTGCCCTCCCCCAGTGCGGCATCTGCAAGTCCAACTTTGACATCTTGTAATTTGAGCATTCTGGCAAGACAGCAAATTAAGAAGACATTCTTGAAGTGTATTCAAATGCCTCCAACATACCGCTCCTCAATCGTGTCTTTCACGACGAGACGTTTCACGAATACATCCTTCTCTTGGCCCAGTCTATGCACTCGATCGTACGCTTGCGACTCTGATGCATAGTTCCAAGATAAATCCAGACTAGGCACGGCACCGTGACAAGTTCCAGTAATGTTTTCTAAGGAAAACGAATTGAAACTTACTTTATGATACGATTCGCGGCCACAAGGTTAAGGCCCACTCCACCGCATTTTGTACTGCGTGGGGATATGTAAGATCACGAGGATACGATAGGAACCACGAGCGTACCTGATGAGTATGACCTTTGGCCCATCTTGTTGCTTAAACGCCGACAATGCTCTATCCCTCGCAGTCCTGTCCATTCCACCATCATATCGTAGATTTTGAATTCCATATCTGGAGAGCAGGATTTCAACAAGATCTATCATTGATGTCCCTGAAATAATACAATCGTCAAGAGTAGCACACTTGATATAGTAGAGATAGCCCTTACACTGTGAGAAGCATATTGTCTTATCTCCGCTCACGTCCCACTCTTGCAACAATCGAATGAGAGCCATCATCTTGGTACTAGGCTCTAAATCATCGTCTCCTTTTTTCCACGTTGCGATCAGAGCGTCAGACATCCCATTAGATGCTTCGTTATGCTTGCCATTTCCTTTTTTCCGGGACTCGTTTACTTGCTTACCACCCTTCTTACCTCGGCGGGGCTTAGTGGGAGACGATGGGGAACTAGACGCAGCAGGACTGGAGGTGATCGCAGATATTTCTACGTCAGAGCTCTCAGTGAGATCCTTAGTAGAAATATCATCCATGGTAAGGTCGATCACATCATCCTATTCATCGACAACATATCAGTAGAGAATAGCTATCAAGGTTGAAATATTATTTACGTCGTTGATAGGCTTTAGCTGCTTGGACGACGAAGACCCAACTTTTTTTGCAGCCGCTTTTGATTTGGTCTTCTTGGTATTGGATGTATCACTAGCAAACATCTGTGAAAAATCAGGGAGATCATCGTCGGAGCTTTCCCCTTCTGGAGTGTCACCCCTAAACCTCTTCGGCGACCGAATAACGGGTTTCGATTCTATATCCGACTCGTCATCATTGTCTTCTGTCTTCGCAGGCATGCGTCGTTTTCTGCGTTTGGCATTAGCAGCCTTCTCGAGAGCCTCTTCATCTGGTTCGAATGCAGAGGATATAAAAACTTTATTAGGACTAAAATCGTTCATCTTCTTGCAAGTGGGACCTGATCAAACCGTGATCAGATTGTTTAAAAGATTTTCCATAATCAAGTAGTGACTCACATGGCCGGAAGCCTTTGGCTACTGCAAGTTCATACTCTTTCTCTAATTTTAGGTTCTCCTTTTCATTACCATGACCGCTAGATGTAGATGAGAAGCAAATAATAAACTGAAATGTTTATCCGACCCACAATTGTCCGTCATGAGCGATAGGCGCATTCTTCAAGTCCATTATGCAGTCTGAAACGTAGGGAAATATGAATGCTAAGTCAAGCATATTACGTAGGCAACACACACCAAAGCAGAGCTCGTGGCCGCATGCTAATATACGACCAGTATTATGCATGTACACTTCATAAACATGCATTAGCAAGAGTCCTTGGGCAATGAAACGGAACGCACAATCTTTGCAGACAGGACAGGTGGCTTCAGGCTCATCTGCTTCGTCGCTAAACATCATCATGTCGTTTGCCAAAGCACGCGTTAGGAATCTACGAGATCATTAAATACTCACTGCGGGCATGTTATAAAAATTTATGACACACCGCTTCTTAATCTGAAGGCGGAGATCAGACATGGAGAAATTAAGACAAAAAAACGCATACATCAGTGACCCACGGCCATCCCATAGTTTTGATGGCACGGCCAATCTCTTTCTCTTTATCATCTGAGACCAGTAAGGTCGGATCACTGTAGTCCTCAGTTTGGCTCTGCAATAGAAACATGGTATCAATGTAAAAAAACAAGTGCACAAAGTATCAGCTCACAAGTATGAGCTGTGGGTGACAGCACAGCTGACGAAGACGAAGGATTAAAACCTGCCAGTGTGCTATCAGCAGAGCGAGAGGTCGAGTCATAACCAAGGTTCAACTAACCAATACAAATGCGTGACTGAAGATGATATTTGATCAATGCAAGGGAACAGATAGATAGATACCGTGACTCACTTCTTCAACAAGGTCCTGGCCTTAATGAAACGATTGACTTGAATCTTGCTCTTCTTCTCAAAGGAATCGTATACCTAATGCGATTGATATATAATGATGATGTAATAGTATCTTAGCGCGTCTCGAACTCACTTCGCGCTCGTCCTTGGAAAATTCTAGCGTCACTAATTCGATATCCTTCGGAGGTAGCTGTAGGATTGGCTTTCCTTCCTGTGTCGAATGTTCAAGATTACTGAACACATTTTTTGCATTAATATTACGTACTATTTCGGAGTTCTTCGTTCGACGGAGTAACAATGGTTTTAGAATCTCTTGAGCACGGAAAGCTACGGGGAAATGGTCACAACGACCTCTTAAAGTGAAAGGGATTGGAGCATACCAGCTAGAGGGGGGTCATCTCGTTGCATTTTGGCCTGACAAATGTGATGAGTCAACAAGCCTTTTAAACTGTTTGAGAGACCATTCTTACAATATACACGTTAAAATCGTTCCAGTCGTTCCAAGGCCTAAATCTTCCAAAACGTATAAGTCCATATATGTCGGCCCTGTTGGCTCATGAGATGAGCTTCTCGAAATAAATTATTGGGAGTAACATACAGGGTATTGGTGACAGGAGTACCCGTCAGCATCCATCGATACGTCGAGCGCAACATTGCGACACTCTGACTACAAGAGGTAGACCTAAAAAGAAGACAGATTACAAAAGGTTATATATCAGTAGTAGAATGCTATGTTACCTGTTCCGAATGAATTGCGCTTCGTCGAGTATAACTCTGTACCATTTAACGCGAGCTAGCGTACCACTGAAGTAGCTAAAGTGAACCAAAGTGCCGTACTTGGTTTATCATCCTTACCCATGTTTTGCTAACCACTGCTGTTCGTCACCGCTGTCTACATCAGGCGGGGCGATAAAGTCCTGGTTTAGTGTCTGATACGTCGTAATCACGACCTTCGAGAAAATATTGTCAAGCATAACAGACCATCAATCATATACGGAACTTACATCCTTCGATCTGACAGCTTCAACATTCTTGAGTTTGTCACGACCATGATGGACATGGACAGTAAATATACTGTTTGTCTTTGTTTCTATTTCTTCTTTCCACTGAAATAGGAATATTGAACGGATATGCATAGACAAAGAAGAGAGAAGTGTACCTGCAAGAGAAGCGCGGCCGGTACAACTATCAAAGTTGACCGGGCTGCACTATGTTCTTCGGGTAGATTCATTGCCATCGTAGCAATCATTTGGACGGTTTTCCCTACAAAATCCGCGAATTTAGCGAGAATCAGTTGAATGCAGTGTCCTTATTTGTACCCAATCCCATTTCGTCTCTGGACAGAACAGTTAAAACCGATGAAGGGAATACTAATAAAATGGACATACGCAAGGATACCACCTTTGTGAGGCGAATGAAGCTCTTGATCCACCATCCTGTAAATTCAGACGCTAAGCTTACAGCTTACAGTCGAGATCATGAGGCGCACCAGCTAACTCCAATAAGCTGGTGAGGGAGAAGACGAATCTCAAGACCTGGTATAAGGTCCTTTTGGCTATTTAAAGGAATACATCCGAAATTCAGGATATCACATCCAGAATATAAGCATTTAACGAAGACTAACTCTCTCAAATTTAGATTCTCCATAGCATCCTGAACTGTACGGCCATGGCTAAGATTATCAATGGATTTCGTTACGAAATCAGCCATTCTAACATGGACAAGTGAGTTTTGTAATTATTTTTGACTGTGGTGCATTCAAACCTTTGTTCCTGATCAGTACCGCCTCTGTCGATGCTAAGGACCGGAGCTTCGTCATCATATCTTAGCTGGGAGCCTGAGCCCATCACGGTCAGCGCATTTGATACAAAACTTCTTTGTGGAGAGCTCGGTCTAGGTGCAACGCCTTGAAGAAACGACAGAACGATGGTGAAGCTCCAAGATCTGCGACATATTTGTCGCACACGTACCTGGCTGCGAAGATTTATTGAGTGGTGACTCAGGCCCGTGTATTGCTACATTCAAAGATTCATGTCTGATCGCGTTTATGTCTGTCAGCTGGGGACTTTCGACCCATTTTCGCTTCTGGGGAGCGAGCTGCGCTGGAGTAGCTTGCGCGCTAGGTATACCGACATTTGGTGTAAGTCCAAATAGGCCAGAATCATCCAAAGCAGCGAGCAAGCGAGATGGTTTCTTTGTCCCGCTTGCGGACGGACCAGCCATAATGATGTCCTTTGTTACGTTGTCGCGGTTCGAATATGATGGACGAGCACAAGGCAAACCTTGAGGCAAATCAAGAGACAAATAGAAACAAAACAGCGCGTGGCGCTTACTTGCCTTTGCGGGTTTTGCCTTTTGGAAGTCAGCGGCATTTTGCTCCCGCACTTTCAAGTTCGCGTCAAGAGTCATATGGTAACAGTAGTCATCGAAATAGCCCAGAGAATGGTAAGCTCAACAACGATTATACAAAACTGCTAGTGCGTGCTCATAGATCAAGACCAACATGACTAGTGGGGAGTGAGTGACGGTATTTCATAAAGGATACACAAGCAGCACATAATAAAACAGCACATAGACACAATATAAGTGTCAGCCAGAGAAGATATCGTAGGATACGCCATGCAGTCACGAGAGGTTGTAACAAGTATGACTGCCAGCCTGCCACTGAAGCTTCCAAGTCAGGAAAATGTCGCTTCGAAGTTCGTAGATCCTCTTCGTCACTGTTTTCTGTGTGAAAATCAGCCTCTTTCATTTTTACAGCACGCGTCTTGACGTTGTGATCACGATCGGGCGGGGGTGGAGAAACATCCCCTTTGAGCGATTGTTTCATTGCTGCCAAATCCGGTGTTTCTTGGGCAGTGGAGCTGGATGTAGGAGACGACGAATTCGATAGACGTCGCATTAACCCTTTGAATTTACAGCCATTTAGATTACCCATCGGGGAATCACAGAATGTGCGAGTCGTCCTGTACATACACTCCAATGAGAGGCCAGTAACTGCGCCAGTATCGGGCACATTCGTAAGAATGACAGAGTTGATGGCGTAGGTCTGTAGCTTGGTGAGCTTTGTAATTTCAAACGTGAAATTATCTTCTTGCGCTGATTTTGTGGCTCTGTATTGGTTGACACCTTGTTTACTCAGAACGCTCTTGCGAATCATATTGGATCCATCTGCATATGTAGGGGTAGGTGGTGGTTGGTATATGTCGAGGAGGCTACTGTGAAGCAGGCCATGCATCAAAGGCAGGACTTCAGGGCGCATTACCCAACTTCTCAAAACGATAGCCACACGAGGGCTGACAACAAATATGCGGTGAAGACCTGATTCTCCTGCTTCTAAACCTTCCCATAATCCAAACCCATTGGAACTTAGAAGGAACTCTTCTCCGTCCGCCGCTTCCCATATGCACAGAAAATAAGTGCCAGCCTGATTACGATAGGCAAGAGCTGGGTAGTGCTCTGCTTTTGGATTCACATATCCGTTGCACATCTCTGTAACACCCTGACTCCCATACGTTCGAGTCAACTCCTCCGCGTGTAGCATGATCTGGGAATGCGGTGTGTCCAGATAATAACGGAGAACATGCAGAAAAAGTTCGCCAGCAGAGTCTAGACGGTTCTTCCTTCGGGTCTGGGCCACCCAGTCACGCAACCCAATATTCTTTGGATGATCTTCCTGGAAATACGTTGAGGAGCATGCACGATAATGCATCAAGAAGAGGAATTTCCTGAGCTGCTCTAGTGCTCTGCGCTTGAGACAAAATTTTCCACCAGCGAGGGGCGCGTGAATGCCAGTGATTATAGTAGCAGCTTCGCTCTCGAGAAAAGACAACTTGTGTTCAAGTTCATTAATGTTGTCTATGTTGTGTATGTCTTTGTAAAGATTACGGATACCGTAAACATTGCCAATGGGGCGGATATCAAGTGTCTCTGCAGTCAGATCATAGTAGAAAATATATTCTGGGTCGATCCCATTGTGAAGGAAGTGCTTTTTCCTGTCAGCCTTTGATCTCAATTCATCTTGAGTACAATAATCGTCGTAACTGGAGCTATATTACACATACCTCTTTGGGCCAACTTGATAACGACGGAGAATGAACCTCGGTATAAAATGATGGTATTGATTCTCGGTAGATGGTACAGAAGTTAGTAGCGACTCGTCAGACATCTGAGCACCTCGTGGTGTTGTTTCTCGCTTGCCCAGTGCAAGAACGAGTTGACTTCTGCCACAGAAATAAATATGCGCAAATAAACATTTAGAAAATGCCAATATCGTCACACTTAGGTCAGTTTGAGTACACTTGCTCAAACATCATTGTTAGGACTCTTTCCCCCAAATGGTTTGGGAGACTGCATTATATGCTGTGTCAAGGTAAACCAATCCCAATAAGACTTATTGCTGTGGACCACCAAATGTAGTGATACCAAGGTTTATTTGGATAATTTTTTGCGACAGAGGTGATTCGCTCTGATTCGCTCAGCTGAAACAGTACGTCTTCCTCCACATTTCTTCTTTTTTGGCTTTCTGGCTGGCAGATCTTTCCTCGATTTCTGAAGCTCATGTGTAGGATGTTTCTCTAGTGAGATATGCTAGTATGTTGTAAATGGCGCAGCTATGCTTTAGTGACCGACTTCGACCAACACTATGTTCGACTAATACCAGGCCATTTTCGAATGATCGAGAGGAATAAATTGGCAACAACTCTTTCAATAATTCCTATTCGACCGGGAAAGACGAGTCATCACCGATCAACATGAGCTCACCTCGAGGTCTGCGATTACCTTCTTTTGATCTCTAGTCATGCCCTTGGGCGCCTCTTCCTTTGGATTCTGATAAAAGGCCACGCAGCCACAACCTGGGCCTGAAGTCCCGAAGAATCTTTTCTCGTTTTTTCTGCCTTCACGATGCCCGACCACAAATCACTCCAGTATATCATTCACCATGTCTTTTTACCTCCACAGCTACCTCAAGGGGACGATACCAGCGTAGCTTGCGATCACGCATTATCAAGCCTCGTTCTCAGCTCTGCGGAGAGATTCCAGAGAGCTACGGCTCTACAACTGGGGATTCAATGGAACCCTATTTGCAAGATGCTGTCCCAGTTATGCGAATCCATGAAGTTACAGGTCCTTCCTGCCGATTTGGTTGAAAAACAAATGAAGGAAATGAAGTCGGGAGGTGAGGTGTCTTTAGGCTGAAAACTGAAGTGATACAAACTGCATCTCGTAGATATTCTCGTGTTCTTGATAAGGGCTCAGAATGCTGCCATTATTCTCAGAAAATATGACAGCGAGACCACCTTCGAGTCTTTTGAATTGTCGCCCACCACTGCAGCAGTCATGGGTACGCATGGAAAATTACTCTGCTCTTACCCTGGACCTGCCATCTCAGTACCTTCCACTGTCGCCGACGATCCAAAGTTTCAAGAAGAGTTTTCTCTTTTCCTTGCAAAGATGAACACTGATGTGTTGGATGACGCGGTGGCGACGACTAGGAAAGCTAAGTCTAACGTACGAGAAGAAAGGGAGACAACAGATCCTCGCTACATCATCCAGCTTCTCACCGGCATCTTACGTGGCGTAGGACGAATAGCAGAAATTCCTCGCATCAGGAAGAGAATAGGAGATGATGTTTTATGGAACGATGCGAGGTTGCCTTGGCGGCGGTCTCCACTCTGGCTTGCTATCAGAGTAACAATGCAGACAACGCTTGTGCGAAGAGATAAGGATGGTAATGAGTACAAATCATTCATGGCATTCTTTATGGCCAGCATCCTTCGAATGGCGTCGAAATGTGATATGCAAAGCGACGTACTCTTTTGCATGAGAGCAAAACTATCTCGTCGCTTATACAAGCTTAAAAGCAACGCTTTGCCTTTCGTTTCTGATGCAGTCAACCAAGTGGCAGACGAAGTTGAGAGTATACTGACAGGGCGATGGAGGTCGGTGCAGGAAGCTCAGGAAACGTCATCGCGCTGGGCTCCTCAGGAGCTCAATTTTATCGAAGATACTTGTCTTTCTCTCACGAACAGCCGGGATCACCTCAAGCGCGTTATGTTGGATCGATCTCCACAAAAATCGTTGTCAGCGTTTCAGCCTAGCCACTCTCCACGAACTCGTGGCATCGAACATTTCCTGAGTGTCGACAAAAATCGTTTAGCAAATATCTTCCAGACCGAGCCATTCACGGCACTGGCAGACTTCGAGTTATCAATTGAGGAAGGTTTTGACAAATGGATCGATGACGTTGCCCCGAACGATCGCCACTCTGCATGTGCTGTCATTTCTAACTGCATGGAAGAATACTTCACTCAAGCCCAAAAGCACTATGCGCACAATCCGGAAGATATGTCAATAATGATCCTAACTCTGCTGGAACTGTGGGTGGGGATGGACAAGCTGGCCGTGTTGGAGCATAGACTCTTGGCCGACTACTCTCCTGAAGTCCCTGCAAACCTTCCAGAGCTTTTACTTCTGCGGAAATCTGGTTCTCTGTATAGACTTGATCAGATACAGCACTATCTAAACAGCCGTGCCCACAGGGCACAGTCCGGCCAGTCAGTATTTACCGACGGCGTTCGTGCACAGAGTTTTTCTGTTCGCTTTTTCGAATCTTCAGCTAAGCATCAGGAACTAAAGCGTCAAATCGAACGGGATGCCGCGCACGTGAGGGACCAAAAGGTCATAGAGATGCAAGATAAGAATGCGGAACATGAAAGGCTTACTGAGGAGGCTCGCAACCTCGAACATATTTATATCGAAAATAGACTTGGCGAAGAGATCCACAATAAGCCAGGTTGCTCCAAGTGCTCCAAAGAGAAGAAAATTGCGGGCTTAAAGATTCAAGTACATGAGTGGCCACTGCCTGAAGATACGACACGGGCGAAGGCTGTCGTTTTCGAGCTAGACTGTCCAATCACTTTCAGCATCTGGAGGTCTACTACGTACAACCTTCTATCCAATATCCTCACCCCTGCCCTGTCCCGAACCAGTATAGCCTCTCCTCCGACCATCTTGACTGGATACTCTGCGCTGATTCCCTACTTGACTTCTATTCCAAGCCGGCGGATCACACTGGCATCAACAACCAAGCCTTTCACAAAATCTCATTATCAATATATACCAATACCTTCTTCCGAGCCTCGGGTCTGTCTCCCAAATGCCCTATCTTTCAGGCTTTTCGATGTATCGGGAAGCAGATGGGCTGCCAACGCGTTCACTCAATGTACTCGAATCGAACGGTTCTGTATACCTAATCTCCCTGCTGGGCCGTACCAGAGCTTGCAATACACGGTCGATGGGACGTCGCATTCCTCAAACACCGTTCTTTCTAATCAATCCCAGTGCCATAAAGAGCTCACAATTCACGAGTTCATTGCATTCGGGTCTCTACGCAGTGGACCATTGCTTCAGTGGATGAACATATTGAGGGAATTACACGCACGCACGTTGAATCTTCGTCGGGAGGAGGTCTACACCCTCATGACTCAAGCTGCGTGGCAGGTGGGCCCAACGTCAGGCGATGGAGTAAGGGAGTGGCATGTTGATCTAGTAGATGTGAAGTTTTCAAGCGCCTTGTTGGACGAACTGGAGAACTTTGTAGTCACCGTGGAAGAGAATTGGCTCGAAGACGTGTCGATGAGGACAATTATTGCACTAGCTTGTCGCTTGCTCTCAGTGGCTACCGACGACAGCATAACAGGCAGGACATACACGTTGCTGCGTAAAGTTCGTGTCATCACCTTCCGTTGGATTCAGCAACTGTCTAAAAAACTTCACACGATCGACAACGACCCGGACATGCAAACCCAGGAATTCCAAAGTCGAATTCGTGACCTGGCAGCCACCTGTAGAGCAACATATGACGTCGAAAAGAAACATCTACGATTTCTCTTACGTTCCTCGGAAGATGAGACCACGCTACTTCAGTGTGCTATCGCGCTTCATGATAACATGCCTTCAAATCTCCAGATGGTATCCCCTGAATCCAAGAGGTTGTTAGATCGTGATTGGCGCCTATCACATTTTCTGGAAGGGGTGTTGTCCCAGCGCATTATAGCAGATGGTAGTGGGCTTAACGATGCTATTTTAGCTGTGTGGCCAGGGTACCGTCCTGGGGTATTCTGGAGTCGCTTACAGCATCCACATGAACGCTGGCTTATCTCTTTGACCAGTGAAAGTGACAACCAACGTTCACAAACAGTACACTTCAATCTCTTTGAAGGGCAATTACTCATAGATGGGAAGCCCTTGGGTCGACTTCCATCTAGCATCATCCGACATCCAACGTACTCTATGCTGTTTGGACAGGTAGACTTCGAATCTTCTCTCCGTTCGAAGTAAAGCTAATATTTTGCTCTAGAAAGTACTTGACATTGTCCCTTCTGATATTCAAGGGATGGAGTTTGTAACGCGTGGAAAGGTATATGATCGGCAGGTATGTAGCCCTTTTGTATTCTGTGATGAAAAAAAAAACAAATAATATACCGATCCAGGTGTATTTTTCCCTACGAAAACTTGGTAAGGAACTTGTGGTTCGAACAAAGCAAGGGGCAGAGCTTCTTGAATTTATTCCACGAACTACATTTCTCAACGATTTACCGAAGTTACTTGTCGAAGATCATACACACTGGTTGAATTTACACACTGGGGAACTTCAAATCCGACCTGATCATTGTATGTGGGAACCAGCGCACGATATCTGGTGCATTCAGTTTTCCCTCGATGGTCACTCCTTCATGAAGAGTGGTCTATCACATTTGATCGATATCCGTAGTCCTACCTTTCGGATGATGGCAGATCGCCTGAAGGGTCTAGAATATCCAGAGAATTTGCTCGTCACCCATAAACCTCTCGCCGAAAACTCTGGCCCTTCTCTAGTCGTCGATTTGCTCCGCTTCAGACTGTCATTTTTTGTGGATACTAATTATCATCTCCAAAGCCGCAATCTGCGTGGGATGGTAGTAGATTCAAATCAGTCAGCTGGTACTTTATTTGGACTTCGCAATCAGCTCCTGCTGCGATCGAGCGATCAAGATCTTAAATATCATTCGCGTCATAGATATGTTCTTATCCCGCATGGCCAGCTCTCCTTTCAGAGACAAGGTCATCATATAACGATCGAAATCGATACGCAGAAGCAGCATCGAGTCCAGCATCATCGTTACAAAGTTGACACTGTTCTAGGATGTCTTGTTGGCAACGTCAGTTTGACAAACAAGCTATACAAAGCCTATCTCCATGCTCTTAGCAGTAGCTGTCTACCTGATCCTTTGACTGGTCGTACAGGCACCGAAGAGGCTCTGTATGACTTGAGCTCTGCTGGTTGCCAGTCGTTCCAAGCTCTAGGAGCAGCTGATATAGAGCTTCTGCACCAGATAGGTGCTCTCACCACGAACCGCACTTTCTATCCAGCACATCTAAAACGAATGCAGAAGGTGGAATGGGGTAAAATTTCGCCTCTTGCCCAACATCATGGATTTTACGCAATGACAAACACGATCCTTGAATTCGCAAATCGTATTCAGGTGTTTGAAGAGAAGCCCATCAAAATTCATTGCAGCGATCGCAATACCCACTTACTTCAGCGTGCTGCTTTGCGGAATGCTATGTTTTACCCGCAAGAATTTACACAACCACTTCCACCTCACAACGGAGACTTGGAATATGATAACAGAGCCTCGGTTGGTGATGCAGAGGCCTCAGCATGTGATGTCGCTTCTTTGATTTACCAATGGCCCTTACGCTTGGCCACTTCCCATCACTTGCTTGACATATTTCAACAGTGGAAACACGTTTCGGGCCCTCAGACTCTTGCAACTCCACGGTATGATAGCGACTGGTTTGAGATAAAGTTATCCGAAACATGGATCTCTCTGTATGATCTATTTCGGAGAAGTACAAGGCAGGAGGTCCAATACCAGCTATTATTTTCACTATCTGCTATGGTTTACGGCTCTCCAAGTACTCGAAACTACATCGACACATTGCTCGCATTCGCCACAAATCCTGATTTCAAAACCATCCGTCCACCTTTGTATTCGTCATATGATTTGAGAGATGGGTTTAAACCACAACAGGAGGTCCTGCTTAAACTCGTTACATCCTGCGCTCATCCGTTTGAGCGCAGTCCTGAGGTGGACTTAGAAGCGCTCGAAGGAGAGAGCAAGACTTCTTTGAAGTTCCGTCGTCATAGAATTTACGAAGAGCAGAAAATATCTCATGTGAGGAAGGCAGTAGAAGATCTTATTTCCCAATGGCCATGCGACAAACCAACTTGCCCGTCATTTATTTCCACAACACGATTCAATTCCCCCACTCTTATGCAGAAAGTTAAACTTTTGTTCCTTAGCTGTTATAAGAACAAATATCTTTGGGAATATACAGTGCAAGTACAAGTGGTTCTAGATCGCGCGTATACATCAACGCTAATCGAAAAACGACCTTACCGGTATCGACCTTCTTTTTCTGGTAATAAAAATCACTGCAGCAACAGTATCACATTTATCGAACTTTTCGATCGCAATGTTCCAGATCTTGATCCACCACCTAGGGAGCTGCCAAAAATTCCTGAATCAATGAAAGAAAAGGCCATTCCGAAATCAACAAAGGGGTTGCAACGTCTTGTCTCGGAGTTCAGAAATGACGGTGCAAACGCTTTTCATCAGCTTTATGGAGAGAATCTGGCGGAAAGTTGGCGGACAATGGGCCAGCAATCTTCAGATGGTTACCCTTCCCGTATATCTTACTCCAGATCAGTGCTCCAGTCCTATCTTGAACAGTGCGAAAAGCACTTCTTAGGTATATTATGCGCAATTCACCAAGTCATGTCACCTCAAACTCCAGCTGAACGCGCCCTGTTAACTGCGGGACAGTGGCCACGTATCACAATAAGATCACTTCTGCGGAAGCTCGTGCCCACCTCCGATACAGCTCTCACGATTGAATGGAAATCGGTGCTTAGTGCTTTGGCGGAATCGCTGATCCTCTTCCAGCGCTCTCAGAGATTGTTGGCGTTTGCCATGAGTCACAAGCACGAGGAATTTTATAAAGAATTGGAGAATACTGGATATGGCGTTTATGATTCTTCATTATACCCAGCCTGGCTTTTGATCCAGGTAAGTAGTATGTTGCGCTAAAATAATATCTTCATACTGACAACGAATAAAGATAGAAAATCACTTTCGTGTTCGACCTATCCAGGCTGAAGTGGCTCGGGAGATGATGTCACCGGCATCTGGACATAATACAACTCTGCAGCTAAACATGGGAGAAGGTAAATCATCCGTAATTGTGCCCATAGCAGCAGCAGCATTAGCAGACGGCGATAAGCTGGTACGGGTAGTGGCGTTGAAATCTTTGGCTACTCAGATGTTTCAGTTATTGGTCGAGCGCTTGGGTGGCCTAACAAACCGACGGATTTTTTACATGCCTTTCTCGCGGTCGATCAAGCTGGATTATACCAAGGTTCAACTGATCCAGAAGATGTATGAGGAATGCAGAAGAGTGGGCGGTATTCTGGTCATTCAGCCTGATCATATCTTATCTTACAAGTTGATGAGCGTGGACCAGCACCTGGCCTCCAGATCAGATGTGGCGAAGGGGTTACTCGAATCCCAGCTATGGCTAGAGTCGCACACCCGGGATATCCTTGATGAAAGCGATGAGATTTTGCATGTCCGGTACCAGTTAGTATACACCATCGGATCGCAACAACATCTCGAGGGCTTTCCTGAGAGATGGACCACCACACAACAAATACTTTCGCTTGCACGAAAACATGCTCCTCTTTTACAGCAGAAGTACCCTTTGGGCATAGAAGTACAGCAGAGCCCATTCCACGTTTTCCCCCAAATCCGGATCTTGCAAGCCGATGCTGGCGAGGCACTTATTTCTATGATTGCTCAATGTGTGTCAGAAGGAGACCTAGCTAACTTCCATTTCGGTCAATTACCCCTCTCTATTCGCCAGATCGTGTCGACGTTCATTACTAGGTCAAATTTATTGCCAGAGCATATTCAGGTTATCAAAGGCTACTGTCAGGGTAGCGGTTTGTGGAAGGGCCTTTTGTTACTTCGGGGACTATTGGCTCATGGTATCCTTGTGTATGCTCTGAGAGAACGTCGATGGAGAGTGGATTACGGTCTGGATTTGCAGCGATCAATGCTAGCAGTCCCTTACCGTGCCAAAGACGTCCCCGCTGTTAGAGCAGAATTTGGACATCCTGACGTTGCTGTCATCTTGACATGTCTCAGTTATTACTATGGGGGCTTGTCGGAGAAGGAGTTGGACATATGTTTCCAGCTTTTGCAGAAAGTCGACAATCCCCCCGTGGAATATGAAGAGTGGATTCGCGGATGCGATGTCCCTGACACGTTACGTCACATCAGCGGGCTCAACGCCAGGTCTGCGGAGCAGCGTAATCGATATTTGATTCCATTGTTCCAACAGAACCAGGCAGTTGTTGATTTTTATCTGTCTCGGGTAGTTTTCCCGAAGGAAGCCAAGGAATTCCCGCAAAAGCTAGCCACATCTGGTTGGGATATCGCAGAAAGAAAGTCACAAATCACTACTGGCTTTAGCGGAACGAACGACAATCGTTTCCTCCTGCCAACTTCCATATTGCAGCATGATCCCCCGCACCAGAAAAGTACCAATGCAAAGGTCCTTAGCTACCTCCTAAAAGAAGAAAATAATCGTTACATGTGTATGAAAAACCGAGCTGGAGAACATTCGTTGACTGAGAGCTTTCTCAAGGTCTTGGTCAATCAAAGTCCAGAAATCCGGGTGTTACTTGACGTCGGCGCCCAGATGCTAGAGCTACAAAATCGCGATTTGGCAATTCTCTGGCTATCTCTGAAAACTGATGCCCAAGCAGCCATATTCTTCAATGAGAGCGATGAACTAACTGTAGTGGATCGAGAAAGCAATTCAGAGCTATTCATATCCTCTCCTTACAACCAACAGTTGGATCAATGTTTGCTATACCTGGATGATGCACATACCAGAGGTACCGACGTAAAGCTGCCTGCGGGATTCCGGGCTGCTGTCACGTTAGGCCCAAAAGTTACCAAGGACAGGCTTGCACAAGGTTGGTTTTCAACTACTAGGGATTTATCATGATTAAAATTTAAATTAGGTTGTATGCGAATGCGAAAACTTGGTAATGGGCACTCTGTCATGTTTTTCGCGCCTTTGGAAGTGGACAGGAGAATCCGTGACGCTGCCAAGAAAGCGGCTGATGAGCAAATTGATGCGTTGGATATTCTTCGATGGGTGATGTACGAGACATGTACGGATATTCAGCAGCGTGCTTCTCAATGGGCACAGCAAGGCGTTGACCACCGGGTTCGCGCAGCAGCCTGGTCTAGATTCTCCTCCGGTGACATTTCTCCCAAAGGATTGGCGTCTGCATGGTTACAACAGGAGGCCAGAACATTGGAAGAGATGTACGGTTTGGATTTGTCGCATACTCATGCAGCTTTTGATATTCCTGAACTTCGCGCGAGATGCATACAGCTCGGCGTACTATCCATCAGAGCGGCTGGAATGGAAGAGGAGCAAGAAAGAGAGGTCGTTCACGAGATTGAACGTGAACGGCAAATCGAAAGGCCTCCTAAGGCAACTGCGGCTCTGCATCATGTCCACAAAGATGTGCAACACTTTGTTCGAACTGGTGTCATACCAGCGGGATCGCTCGCTATCAAACCTGCTTTCACTACATTGGCTGGAACGAACGTCATGTTCAACGATAGCCTTACATGGACACCGAATCTCCTAGTTACCGCGGACTTTGCGACCGTCATTCAAAGTCGTGCCCCTCAAAACGCTCAAGATTACCTGCGGCCCACTCACTGGATTCTCTCAGCTCAATTCCAGGACAGTTTACTTCTCCTCGTCGTGAGCCCTCACGAAGCGAACGAGCTGCTTCCCGAAATACGAGGAAGAAAAAAAGTTCGCCTTCATATCTATGCGCCAAGAGTGACCCAAACAATGAAACCATGTGACGATCTCAAGCTATACTGCATTCCTCCATTGCCAGCTATATGGGCTGTACCACCTGCATTGACAACTCAGCTTAATCTATGGGCTGGTCAGCTCTACCTACCGAACTACGAGACGTACGAGCGACTCTGTGGATTTTTAGGCATATACTCAAAAGAGACGAGTAATGCTGTTACTCAGAGCGACGGGTTTATCAAACCAATAGACCGACCCACCGATATACGGTTTTTTTCACCGTTCCGTCAAAGTCCGGTACCTTGCCTGAAAGCTCTGATCGGATTGCGTCGGAAGGGAATGGGCTTCTTGCCCACACACATGGGGAAAATACTACAAGGGAGACTGCTAACTGACGAGGACTTCGACCCATGATATATATCCACAATAGAGTGATGTTACCTTGACTTAGTTGTTTGGTTCAAATATAGCGACTATACTTTACCGACTGGAAATCAAAGGTCCATTAAACCCACTGAACAGTGGGAAGCTAGCCTGTCTATAGACAATGAGAATGGAAGGCTGAAAAGCACGTAAAAAACTAACCAGGAAAGTGATCGGGCGTGCATGTCGGATAACTAGTTAAATATTACCTCGCGGCCGTTGTCTTTCTGGAATTTGCCACCTTATTACTTAGCTATAGTTCGTGAGCCTGCAAATTATAAGTGCTGAAAAACTAGACGTACCTGAGGGTAGTTTGCATGGCTATCTTGACCGTCATTCACATGATCTAAACCCCAGCCGAAATCCATAAACTTGTGCGTTCCGGAACACAGCTTATTTGACAATACGTCGCTTAGCTTGTCAAATATTATCCTGGAACGGATTACAGAACCACCAGACTCCTCCGATGTATGACAGGTGGTGCGAAAAGATATTCACAAGGTACGAGAATAATAGGTTGATATGAAGGTTTTTGTGATTGCTCTAGACATCGGTATAGTACTAAACAACACCCGAGGCGGCAGGAAGAACAGAGTCTTCGTCGCGACCTGTTTGAACAGAAAACAGTCTTGAAAACTTGCTTCGGGAGAGCTTCCAGAATATCGAACATACCTTCGTAGAACTTCTGCAGGAATGTCCGCTGGGGTCTATCTTTGTTTTTCAGCAGGATACCCATAACGTGATCCGTCTGTTTCCAGCAATTAATCGTCTCCTGATACTCCAGTCTGCCTTTCTGAATTAATATATCTATGACGCGCTGATCCGTAACGTATCGATTCTGTTCGAATTGCTGTCTGATGCAGTGTCTTACGAACTGCGGCGAAACGCTCAAAGCATACAGAGAAACAATTTCTGGTGCCTGCAATAACTCGGTCAAAGTCGGGACAAAGAAATACAAGTAATAACTGGACAGACAGCACGATACCAGTCTCTGTAAAGGTCGATAACTCGCTGTCTGGCTTCAGCAGGGCTGCTCGACAACCGGGTTACCTGCGCAAGGCGGGATGGGATGGTGGTCATGGCTGAACGGATATAAACCTTAACCTCACAAGCAGAGAGACCTCCGTTGATTCCAAACTCCGCCTTGTATATTTCGATAATATCTGAATTTGGATAATCTCGGTGCGCTATCAGCCGATAACAGGATCGTGACTCCAGGTCTCCAGCCCAAAAGGCTTTCTTTTGTTCTACTCCCATCCAAGACAGAAATAATGGTCAGAGGCTCAGGTATGAGGCATATATGGATATTGGAGAAATACGGGACTGATGTTCTTGCCAGGCAAGTATAAGACAAAGCGTGGAGGTGGCAGGAACTTCAGGTAAGAATTAAAGGGCGTCTCAGTGTTCAATTCCTTATCTTCGGCGGTTCAGCAAAAATCTGGTCCTAGATGAAGATGGGACTGCTGTTTCTACGGACAAACGATGGTAGTTACATGATTTGTCTCATCATTATCGATGTCCACCGATCTAATAGCATCTGCGCGCAGGGCACGCCGTGGCGAAAAAGAAGAGGACGGCTCTGACAGTTCTGAAGAGGAGGAGGAGGAGGAAGAGGAGGAAGAATCAGATGAGGAAGAAGCACCCGGTACAAGCGGTGCAAATCAGCCTGAGCTTAGTCGTACTGAACGGCGGGAGCTGAAGAAGAAGCAAGCAGCCCAAAAGCAACAACAGCAGGACGGCGAAGAAGAAGATCCTGATCTAGTCAACCCAAATCATGTCGGGAAAAAACTCAATATTTCTGATCTAGGTGCACCCCGTGAAATGTCCCGAAGGGAGAGGTGTGTTTTTGCTTGCCTTGTCTGACCAATCTTGTAACCACATCGAACAACCCCAGGGAGGCGAAAGAGAAACAGGAAGCGAAGGATCATTATTGGAAGGTGAGTTTGTCTCAGACTCACTCGAAAATTCACCAACGTATCTGCTCTACTTTACAGCTCCATGTGCAAGGAAAAACAGAACAGGCCAAAACAGACCTTGCTCGATTGGCCAAGATCCGCGCAGAGCGCGAGGCTGCTCAAGCGAAGAGGAAAGCTGAGACTGAAGGTCAGCACTTTTTTCGACACAGACAGCACACCAAGTTAACATTGATTTACAGCCAAGACCGCAGAAATTGAGGCTAAGAAGACTGCAGCTGCAAACGGAAAGCGCATTTAATATGTTTTGTTATACTATCAAGTGTACCGATATGAACGACTGTCTGTTGTCGGGCAATTTCCCCTGTGGGCCTTGTACCATATATCCCAAAGTCGTTTGACAATCTCAGGATATTGTAAGTACATCTTTGTTTTTTAGCATTCAATCAACTTCAAACGACATAAGACAACTGCCGTGGCCATCGCCCATATGATCTAATGATCTAATGATGTTTCAAAGCTTCTGACATCGTCCTTTATTTGTCAGGCGCATTGACTCACATCACACATCACACTATTATTTTAAAAAAGGTGAGATATCTACTTCTAACTTGAATGATAAGAGCCCTACATTACCACTTCGAAATCTACTCTGAACTACAAGGCGAATATCTAAAAAGTAGGTCAATTCCCCACTGGCATGTATGGTTAAAGTTCGCTGGGACATATCTAATAAAACTAAGTGAAACTCAGTCGCTGCCCGAGAGGCTATAGAAATGACTATATTATTTACCTAAGTGAAACTACAATGGATATTAGTTTAAGGTGATCTCTAATAAATGTAATGTAACATACCTCAGCTGCTGCCCAAGAGGCTATAGAAACAACTGAGGTATTTCTATACTAAACCCCCTACTACTTATAGTCGGAGATGCTACTCGCTACAGTATAATGACTCCTAGGAGTACAATTGTGCTCCTAGGAGAACAATGGTGACTCCATGGAGAACAATGGTGACTCCATGGAGAACAATGGCTGCTTTGGCAGAGACCGGGTTTATCTGGTTTTGTCACTCCCACTCGAGTGCAACCGTAGTCCCATAGCTTTAGAGAATTTCCAGTGTTTTTCGTGAGTGAGGGGTTTAGTGAGAATGTCAGCAACCATATCTCCTGTAGGAACATATCTGATTACTGCCTCTCCCTTTGATACTAAGTCATCTCAGATAAAATGATATTTCCGTTGAATGTGTTTTGTGCAAGCATGGAACTGTGGATCTCGTGTAAGAATGATAGCTGCTTGATTGTCACAGTGCAATGTTGTAGGTCCATTTTGAGCATGTCCAATTTCTTCAAAAAATGTCCGAAGCCATGCAAGGTGTTGTCCAGCATTGCTCAATCCAATGTACTCTGACTCCATGGAGGATAAAGCGACCATGCTTTGTCTTTTGCTTGTCCAGGAGATTGCTCCTCGGATGGTGATAAAAACAAACCCTGATGTTGATCGAGACGTGTCTGGGTCTCCAGACCAATCTGCATCTGAATATCCATAGAAATCCATGTCCATGGAGATATCTGTGCCATCATATTGTAGTTCCATGTCCCTGGTTGCTTTCAGATATCAGAGGACACATTTTGCAGCTTCCCAGTGATGGCTCCTTGGAGCTGAGCTATGTCTGCTTAGTATTCCAACAACGTAGGCAATGACTGGGCAGGTTCTGAGCCTACAATTGAGAGGTATGACACTTGACGCTGTCATGCACCAAAGTTGATTGGTAGCATGGACAGGTGTCAATAACGAAGCAAATATTCAAAAAGACTCGCCTTTGTGCCACACAGGCACAGTGCCACTTGGAATAGTAATTAATATTGCCTTTTTCAATTTTGTGGCTGATCAGCACCACCTCTATTAGGCAATCCAGTCGCGCTCACCTTTGCTTTCCATTCAGTACTTTCCGTGTTTCGGCATTTCGGCAAATTTTCGCGTCGCCACTGGCTACACATTGTATTGCGCCCTCGCTTTTGTCGTTTCCTTCACTTCCCTTCCTTTGCCTAGCCCCACCATGGGTCCCTTACTCTCGTTTTTATTCTCACCCGACGGTTGTTTCTGGATCCCCATTTTAGTTCACCTCCTCGTCACCTCCATCCTCCTCATCTTATTTGCTCCCCCATCATTTCTGATGTCACCACTTCCTATCCGCTTCTGTCGCCGATCCATTGACTACCACGTGCCACTGCTGATATCAGCAAAGCCCCGGCGGCCGGTCCAAATAGGGCAACAGGTCCATCTTCATGACATCGATCTGCCATCATATATTATCAAAACATCGGTCGCTCGTCTTGCCTGGTTGGAGCGTGAGTGGGTAGTTTTTGAGCTGGAGAAGGTTCATCCCCTTGCGTTGCCCATGTTCATTGCTGTCCCATTCACTTGGGTACACTTATCTTTTGTCCATCGTCTTCGCTACAGCTACAGCTACCATACGCTGCCTGGGACTCACTTGTTCCAAATTGGAACTACTCCTCTCCCTCCCTCGTTTGATCAGGTGGTCCAACACAACCAGTCCATTGGTAAGGCCATGGAACTGTCGGATTTGGACTAGGTGGTGGACCGGTGGCTCCAGTTTCTTTTTTTTCAGCAGAACATTCATTTACAGTGCAATTAATTTTGATTTTTGAATCATTTTTATGGACACATATTTTTTAGAATGCCTGACTGACAATAAAGGAACTGTGTTGATACTGATAGTGTTTTGCCTTGCCCTTTTTTTACTGTATCTTCCCATGACATCATAATTTTCCTGCTCTCTTTTTGTTATTGGACTTTACTTTATGGCTGTACAAACCTGTGACATTACTCACAGCATTCATTGTTCTATCCCTTTCTTTTCCTTTTTTTGACAATCTTATCCTGTACTACCTACGCAGGATTTGTCAGCATACATTCCTTCCTTCATGTTCTTTCTCATTCTTTTTGCACAGCTATACTGTGCATAGCCTACTTTTCTTTCACTATATAAACCCCTGTATTTTACCTTGTAAAACAACAAGAACTCGATTCCAGACTTCTTCTCTAATCTTAAGCCCACTTTTTACTGCTACTTGTGATCCAGTGTGGTCACAACACTTCCCACTGCTACCACTGTTAATTGCTGTCATTGTCACTTCCCACTTTTGAAGTCATTGTTATCCCTTTTGATTAGAGTCCTTCTGAGCACTACAGTTTGTGCGTCAGGAGCCTGCTATCACTATGAACCTCGTCACCTCGTTATCCTCGTTGTTCTCAAACCTACCTTGTGCTACAATTAGCAAGGTAGTGCTCATCTATACTCGTCACTAAGCCCCTATCTTCTATAAATTCAACTATCCCTCCTCCTCAAAACCCACACTCATACATCTCTGGGTTTTACTTTGAAGGATCTTCATACATACCACCCCACAAACAACCAGAGCACCCACTGTTCTAGGAGGCAAAGCCCATAAACAGGTTCCGTGGAATCTGGGAGGATTGTTTGTTAGTTTGTTTTTGTGTGTGGTTTTCTAACAACAATTCTCATCATCGACAACGCCCTTCAATATGCATCTCGTGTTGCACAATATCTTCCCCTGGAGTGTTTGCGAGGAGCTTTGCTCCATGGGCCATTGGTGTCCATACTGGTTTGCAGTTCTTCATTCCAGTACGCTCCAGAACTGTGTCAATGTATTGGTGTTGCAATAGGGAGATTGTTTTGTTTGAACAATCACGTTGGATTTCTATTCCGAGGATGTATTTTGCTTCTCCAAGGTCCCGCATTTTGAATATGGATTTGAGTTTGGCTTTTGTGATATCCATGAATTTTTGGGATGAAGCTCCTAGGAGGAGGTCATCTACATAGATAACAACAAAGCATATTTGTTTGTTGTCCCGGAATACATAGAGACATGTTTCTGTATTTAGTCTTGTGAAAGCAAGCTCCTGGAGCTTGCGATCAAAGGTTTTGTTCCATGTACGACCAGCTTGCTTTAATCCGTAGATGGATTTCTTCAACCTCCAGCAGTATCCAGGTTGGATAGGAACACCCCCTGGAGGAAGCATGTACAGTTCTTTTTCAAGTTCTCCATTGAGATAAGCTGTGGATACGTCCATTTGATCAAGTTCTAGGTTGTACTTTGCTGCCAGGGCTAGAATAATTTGGATTAACTCTAAGTTTGCAACCGGAGA